GGGGCTGAGAGAAGCTAAGTGGGCAGAGGTCCCTTCTGTCCCAGGACTCACTCCCGGGTCTTTCGGCGCCTGCCCTTTGCCCAGCAACAGTTGCTGGGAGTTAAAGAAGGGCCAGCGACCTGCTAACCGTTGGAAGTGGACTAGTGGGGTCAAAAGACCTTTTCAGACAGTCCTGTGGTGTGATGCCAGGGCTCGGGTCTCCAAGCCTCTTAGTTCAAGGACAAGAGAGAGACCAAATGAGTAGCCGACGTGACATAGGGCGACTCAGTGACCACTGCCCATCATACCCTCATGGCACTTTGTCCGCCGAGCTGTGCCTACCTGTCCTTTGGCATACCCCTCTACTCAGCCAGCAGTGTGCCCAGGCAGCAGCAATAGCAGGAGACGGAGCCATCAGCTTAGTTCTGGGCACTTATTTCCTGCTTTCCCTGTCCTTGAGGGGTCTTTGTCCCTCACCAGCATCATCAGTGGCCTCTCTCTTGATGCGCCCACCTTCTGGAACTGGCCAGCTTCTCTGAGTAAGCATAGAAGCCGTGCTTTCTGTCACGTGATAAAAATCATGGGCAAAGCAACTGGAGGAGAGAAAGATTTGTTTGACTTACAGGTCATTGTCCATCACTGAGGAAGTCAGGACAGGAACTCAAGCAGGGCAGGATCCTGGAGGCAGGAGCTGATGCAGAGGCCATGGAGGATGCTGCTTACTGGCTTGTTCCCCCTGGCTGCTCAGCCTGCTTTCTTATAGAACCAGGACCACCCATGCAGCACCACCTAACCATCCAGTGGGCTGAGCTCCCCATATCAATCACTAATCAAGAAAATGCCCCCCAGACTTATTTATGAGGTGTTTGGTTGGAGGCAGTTTCTCAATTGAGGTTCCCTCTTTCCAGATGACAGTAGCCTGTGTCAAACTGAAGAAAAACAAGTTAGCCAGTACAGCTTGCCAAGCTCATAGATGACTAGTAATTCCTGAGCCCATGGCGTTCTGGGCAAGATACAACTCTCAGGGCTGGAGACATGGCTCATAATTAAGAGCACTGACTGCTCTTCTGGAGGACCAGGGTTTGATTCCCAGGACCCACATAGCAGCTCACAGCTGTCTGTACCTCCAGTTCCAAGACCCTACAGCCTCACACAGACATACATGCAGGCAAAAAAAAAAAATCAATGCACATAAAAATAATTTTTTTAAAAAGGAATAACTCTCTAGACCATGAATGGGGAACTAGACCAAGGACAATTTATGTTTTGTTTGGCGCAGGGGCTTGCTATGTAGCCCAGGCTATCCTAGAACTCACGATCCTTCTGTCTCAGGCTCTCCAGTGTTGAGATGACAGGTACATTACCATTATGCTCGGCCAATCTGAGTTTTTAGCAAGCACTCTGCTAAATTTAAGAACAAACCAAAGGAAGGGAGTGGAGCAAAGGCAAAGAGCACAAGAAGTCACGGGGAGCATTGTTGGCACAGAGAGGGGCATTGCTGGCACAGTGAGGCAGATCCCATGGCAGCAGACCCCCAAGCTTTCCCCAGTTCAGCCTCAGAGCAAGCCAGGAAAGAGGATGGACGGGCCAGTCTCCTCCAAGCTGAGGGTGAGCTGGCTGCCTCTGGGAAGGTCTGTCTCCACCAGGCTGGGTCTGCCTTGGGAGTAGCATTATTGACCTGGAATTGAGCGAGATGGGAGAGAAGTGTGGGAGGTGGGATGGGCAGGGAGTGGAAGCAAAGTCCTGAGCATCAGGGCTGCTGGCCTCTGTGATGTGTGAACCTGGAGTGTCTCTCATGTCTTGAGAACTGTCTCCCAGCTGCTGGCAGTGGGATGGGAGACTGTGAAACTGGTATGAGTTGGGGCCTGGCTGGCAGAAGGTCATAAGGGCCGGGATGTGGAAGGTTCCTGGTTCCTGCTCTAGGGAGAAGTGCTCTGCCTCTCCAGCTCTGATGGGCTGACATCACAAGTCAAAGCAGATCTGGTGTTTTCAGCTGTTTCTGTCAGATATTGTGGTCACAGTGTCACAGCAGACATAGCAGGTTAAAAGGTCCAACTATTTAGAAGCAATTTTTTAAAAAGTGTATGTGTCTTGGTGTTTTGCATGTATGTGTGTGTACCACATCTGTATAGAAGCTGCAGAGGCCAGAAGAGGGTGTCAGATCCCCTGAAACCAGACTTATATACAGTTGTGAGGCATCAAGTGGGTGCCGGCCACCAAACCTGAGTCCTCCCTGAAGAGCCGCCAGTGCTCTTGCCTAACGAGCCATATCTCCAGCCCCGCCAACACTGTTGAGTTGAAATCACTTCCCATCTCTTTGGATGGCTATCAGCACACAATCTGAATCAAGAAAAAAATGGGAATCTCTCGGGAAACATGTGCAGGGCTGCAAAGATGTGAAGGCGAGGCCGGGCGGTGGTGGCGCACGCCTTTAATCCCAGCACTCAGGAGGCAGAGGCAGGCGGATCTCTGTGAGTTCGAGACCAGCCTGGTCTACAGAGCTAGTTCCAGGACAGGCTCCAAAGCCACAGAGAAACCTGTCTCAAAAAAACAAAAACAAAAAACAAAACAAAACAAAACAAAAAAAAAAAAAAGATGTGAAGGCAGAACTCTGGAACCTCAGCGCTGGGTACTAAAAACCCCAGAGGTTCCTCTGAAAGACAGCAGAGAATTCCCGTACGAGCTAGCAGTGACCTACTTCAGGCTGATCCAAAGGAACGGGATGGGAAAGTCGACTGAAGAGATGGTCTCTGCTCCCTTCCAGCATTATCCACAATAGCCACAAGGCAGAAGCAACCTGCAGCCTCCCACAGCAGTACATAAACTAATGTGTTCTAGCTACATGATGGAACACTGTTCAGCCTTAAAAAGGGAAATCAGGGCTGGAGAGATGGCTCAGTGGTTAAGAGCATTGCCTGCTCTTCCAAAGGTCCTGAGTTCAATTCCCATCAACCACATGGTGGCTCACAACCATCTGAAATGAGATCTGGTGCCCTCTTCTGGCTGCAGGCAGACACACAGACAGAATATTGTATACATAATAAATAAATAAAATATCTTTAAAAAACGGAAATCATGACACGTTATAATATGGAGCAAGCTTGAGAACACTGTGTTAAGCAAAATAAGGGAGTATGAGTTCAGTGATGAGATTCCAAAGTCCAAAGATAGAAAATACGGTGGGGAGGGGCTGGGAGTCAGGAAATAGGAATTCATTGCAATAGGTACAGAGTTTCCATTTTGCAAGACGTAAAAAGTGCTTTTTAAAAAGTGTCAGGTTTGGGTTACCAACCTCTGACTAGTTGGCTTGTGAGGTCCCAGAGACACCCCAAACCAAATAATACAGGCAATTGCTTTTTCTTGGGTGCTCACCAGAACTTGATAGCAAGACCTTATTGCTGAGGACAGCCATGGGGGAATCCAGCTGGCGCTGATCTGGAAGTGTTCTCTGTGCTGGCTAGCTTTGGCAGTGCCGGAAGGCGTCATGTGGACTCTGGGCAAGAAAACTAATCAACTTAAAGTTTGAACTCCTGTGAGATACAACAGCCTGGCAAGATACACCCACAGGTACAATGGTAACATAAATGTCATGGGTGTCACCAGCTCCTTTCTTGTCAGATTTAAGGTGTGCTCCTCAAGGCCTGGAACCATTAACTGGGTCATGCACCATGGGAAGCTGATAGGCCCCGGGGGAGAACATATTTCTATCTTCTTTCTAAGATATAGATAGATGGACACAGCTATCTATACATCCATGGTGTGAGCGCAGCTCCCCGCCCTCATCAGAGAGGCTTCTTTTTGCAGTGGGCAGCAGCTGAGAGACTGACAGATTGTCAAAGCGCGGAGAATAAGTGCCTGTGGCATGCTCGGCTCTACCGCTGAGCTAACTCCCCAACCACCTGAGCCTGGTTTTTCCTGAGAGAATGAAGACAAAAGGCTCCTCACCTCATTCTCCCAGGTTCATCCACGGACTACACAGGAAAAGACCAGGCCTGGCATCAGTCAGTCGCCACCTCTGTATGGGCCTGAACTGGGCAACAAGGTCTCTGTCCACACAGTGGTAGCTGGGCCTTCCTTCCTTCCCCTGGGGTTAGTGGCTAAGTCCCCTGAGGGGAAAATGGAAGTACTGGCCTTGTCAGGGACAATGGAGCTTGCAACTGACTGCCCACAGGCTAAATGTCAGCATCTTTACAGTGACAGCAATTAGGTGTGTCTGGGACCCAACAGAAGTCTGCCTAACCATCTCCCTCTCCCTGCCCCTCCCCTGCCCACCTTCCAGAGCCTGGGTCGGCTTACTGCCCTTCCTGGGTATCTGCGGAAACAGAATGGCCTTAGGAAACAGTAACTGCTGCCTCTGGGCTGAGCCATCTGAGGATGGGGCTGCTGGTCCTCTCCGAACTAGGGAAAGCATTTTTAAAACAAAACACAAAAACGATTAAGTTTCCAATGCCTCCTCTGGCTTCAAGCATGGCTTGATTCAGAGATCCAAAAATTACGGACAGGCCTGCGCCTCTTCCTTGCCCTGCGTGTGTGACAGGTTCTCTCTCCCCAGTGGCACTGGAGAACTCTGGTTCACCCACCCCTCGGAAAGATGCTGAATGGACCGGAATAAAAGTCATAGTTGTTGAGGGTCCCTAGGAGTGGATCAGTACTGTGGGAGGCTCAAGGTTCTTGTGTAGGGTGAAACCGCAGGGACAATCAGTCCTCAAGTGTAGTGCAGGCGCCTGGACACACCACAGCCGTGTGTCACATACGGAAGGGCAGTCAAGACTAGACACACCTCCCAGTCTGCCCTGTGAGACCATGGGTGAATGTCTTGACCTCTCTGAGCTTTGCCATGCCCCCTCATCTGATAGGAAGGCATGGAAAGGGGGCGAAAGCCTGGACCTTCATCACTTAGTGCTCGTACAGAAAGCTCTCTGATGTTTGAAAGAGGGAGACTTTGAGAACAGTGGAGAACCTCCCATCCCCTCTACCTGTCAGGGTTTTCTGGTCCACAGAATAAGTCAAAGTCAAAGGGCTTCCTTCAAAAAAATAGTTTATTTTGTTGATCTCCCGGCAGCCTCTTCAGTTCAAGTGGACGGTCAGGGCAGCAGCTACTCACAGTCTGGGCTCTCCTCCAACGCCAAGAGGGCCTTGCCCAGAACAGCCCTTCATCCCCCAGAATCTCCACTCCTCCCAGCCCCCCTCAGCTGCCAGGGCTGTCACTGGCTGGTGGCTGGGCCTTTCTCTTTTAACCTGGGGAACCTCAAGTAGCCTGGCTTGCAGCCGGTTCCCTGGGTGACTGTGGCCTCAGCCCGGGGTGATGCTCCATGCCATCAGACACTGCCCAGAAGGACAGTAGGTGGTGGCTGACATCCCCGGCCTCTGTCACTGGCATAGAATATCTCTCTCAGACCCTGCTGCTGTGGGGCCTGCGGGTGCTGGCAGTCTTCGTGAGCAAATCCGGGGTGCCTGCAGCACAGCCCCAGAGCCAGTGGCTCCCGCCACGGTATCAAGGCACACGATGAGGAAGTGGAGGGGCGAAGTGGCGACACTGGCTGTGTTTAGGGACAGCTTCTCTGTGCTCAGGCAGGAGGGTACTTGGTACCCAAAGGGTGGCCAATCTGTAGGAGGCATGGGGTCCAGTCCCTGCTCCACTTGGGAAGAGAAGGCTAACAGAGCCTGGGAGCTGAGCCACGAGGAGTCCTCCAGCTCTGCCGGACACCAAGTATCCAACCCATTGTTCTCTTCATCTTTGGAACCAGCTCGTCCATAGGACGGTCTTCCTGTCTCAGGAGGGCCACTTGGAGAACAAAATGCCATTTTATTCTCTTAATTGAACAAAGGAAATTGTTTTTGCCCTTGCTTGGCTGACTAAGTATCGTGATAAGCCTTGTCACAAAAAGAGGTTTTCTTGGGTCTTTTCTGGTGTTTTCTTTAGCACATTTATTCTGTTGAGGGACAAGAGCTGCTGAGCGTGAACCAGTGTGCAAGCGCCTTGAGATGAGATAGTGAGCCGAGACACTGGACCCCCATTCCAGGCAAAGCACAAGAACTCGGGGTGCCTGGTTCAGTTTACTCGGAGTTATCCACTGGGACAAACCCTCGGGTTCCCAGGGAAGGGGAGGCTGTGCCTGCCCGGCAGAACCACAGGGGCCTTTTGTCCAGGAAGATGCTGGTCAGGAACAGCAGCTGCATTTGTAGAGTGCTCAGGATGGCTTTGTGGGTTTTCCCAAAACAAGCCCCAGGGTCCTGCGAAGGCCTGCCGTATGGCCGTTCCCGTGGTCCAGAGTACCTCAGGGGGAAGCCGGGCTCTCCATCGTAGACAACAGCTGAGCCACCTGTATCCGCTCAGCCGGGCTGAGGTGCTGGCTCAGGTACGCCACACAGTCCATGGTCACCTCTGGGTTTTCCTGAACCAGACTACAGGGAAGGGAAGAGACAGGTGGGTCACTCACCAGTTGTGGTCTCTAGGTGGCAGTGTCCTTGTCTAGACATGTTTCTCTTGGGTGGACCAGAGCCCAGGGTTCTAACTTCCTCCAGCTGTGTTCACTCAGAGAATGGGGTTGGAGTGGGGGGAAGGGGGAAGGGAGAAATAGTCCCGTAGTGGGGGGATTCTGATGTAGGGAGCAGAAGGCTTCAGGGTGGCATAGCCCTATTCAGTCACTGGTTGTGTGACCCTAGGTGTGACACACCTGAGCCCCACCCAGCTTCACACCTGAAACAGGACCAGGAATCCTGTGATCCACATCCTTGGAGACTAGGAAATACTGACAGGGAGGGAGCCTGCATCCTCAGCCCTGGGGTTTGCGATGGGCATCCTTCTAATCAACAAGGTACTAGCTATGAGGCAAGAAGTCATGGACCACAGTTCTGGTGTGTGTGTGTGGGGGGGGTAATCGCCCTGGGCTGCGGCTGGGCCTGATCCTGATACTGTGGCAGGCCAGTGAGCCAGAGGCTGGCCACAGGCATGCTGCTCACCTCTGGATAGTCTTGAGGACAGTGTCCCGCTTCAGGTAATTGATGTTCTCACGGATGGTGGAGCGCAGGCCGTCCCTGGCTGACCAGTGCTGTTCCAGCCACTGGACCACCACCTGGTTGCTGTCCCACTGGTAGGCCTGGGGGGTTAATGGGTAGAGTCTACCTCAGGTGGGAATGCTGCTGAGGGACAGAGCTGACAGTCCTTATGCCCCGTGCCTGCATGCAACCGCTCCCTTCTCCCTGCTCAGGCCCACCTTGACAGGGCCCTCAGTCTCCACAAACCAGCGTCGCAGCATGGACTGTGTGTGTTCATGGCTCAGCTCGGGGCTGGCATGGAGAATCTCCTGCTTCACCTGAGCCTCCAGCAGCAGCCGGCGCAGCCTCCAGTATAAGAAGGTGCGTGCAGTCTTCCATTCCAGCACGTCCTGTGGACAGATTCAGCTGAGTACCCATGAAGGGGAGGGGGCAGGAACTGTTCAGCTCTGGGCCCCAGGCTGGCTACCTGACATGTGCCCACCCCATCCTAGAAGCGGCAATATTGTGCATAGGGCACCGAGCTCCTCCTGAGGGAGACACAGAGCAGGGCTCTGCAGGACCCTCAGTGCCTGGCATGGCCTCTGAATCAAACCGGTGTCCACATTTACCTCTGCTGGCACAAAACTCGATCTCAGGTTGGTTCCCCAAAGAAAACTGGCCAGCCAGCTATGGACATGGGCCAGTGGACGAGGTTGTCCTCTTAGGAGCCGGTCACAGGCCAGTGTCAGTACAAACAAGGCTTCAAGCCTCACAGAAGCTGCAGACTAAGCCATCTGAACACACTCAAGGTACTCCAGCGTGTTCAAAACCTGAGCCTCCTCGGGGTGAGAGGCTGCAGGCTCCTGCTGACACACTGAGACTGAATGGTCCTGAGTGCCCTCCGAGCCCCAGCTTGGCTCCATCCCAAACCCCTATGCATTCCTCTGTGTCTGGGTCCCCTGTGGCCTCTGGGGACTTGCCGAGATGATTCCCTTCTCCAGCATCTGGCCGGGCGTGTCGTGCAGGTCGGCGAACTGCACTGCCACCTGGTGGTAGATGGGGAACAGCAGGTCCTCTCGGGCCTTCAGCTGGCCCTCCAGCTCCTTGCGGTCCTTGTCAGGGAGCTGGGCTGTCCCTGCAGGTGAGCAGACATCAGGTCAGGACTTCAGAGGCTGTGAGAGATGGCCATGTGGGGTTGGGCTGTGTTTGTTTGCTTGTTTGCTTGCTTGTTTTGAAAAGCCACAAAACTGAACAAGAGGCCTTGCCCTGTGATAGTCTGGCCTGCCATGCCAACACTGCTTCTAAATCAAGTTCTGTAGCCTCAGAAATACACTCAAAGCCCCAAGACAGCTCCTGGGGGGGGGGGGCCCAGGCCTGTCCAGGCTTCAGCTGCTGTCTGCAGATATATAATTAAAACAGTGGGGGACATATTAATTCCATGGTAGCAGACACGTCGGACAGATTCTGGAAACACACAAACCAACACAGCTCTGCCGGGAAAAACAGGTAGTAAGGAATGAAGACAACAGTGTATAACAAGGAAAGCCAGCGTTAGAATCCCAAGGGGCCAGAGAGCTGACTCTGGAGAACGGTGCTTCGTGCCAAGCCTGATGATCCGGGTTTGATTCCCGGGACCCATGTGGTGGAAGCAGAGAACCAGTTTCCACAAGCTGTCCTCTGACCTCCACACGTGTGCTGTGGCACGGGCATGCACAAACACACAAAACAGATGTAATAAAAGGGAAAGAAACCAGGCTGGAAAGATGGCTCAGAGGTTAAGAATACTGACTATCTTGAGTTTAATTCCCAGCAACCATATGGTGGCTCACAACCATCTGTAATGGGGTCTGGTGCCCTCTTCTGGCTGTAGGCAAACATGCTCAGAACAGTGTATGCACAATAAATATAACAAATCATTAAAAAAAAGATAAGAGACATTTCAAGATATAATGCCAGTTCCACACAAACCCAGTCATGAAGTGTAGACCCAAATCAGAGGTGAACCCAAAGGAAGTGCACGCTGTAACAGACGTGCGGGCCGCACAGTTACATACATGGCCACTGTTGTTCCTTTGGAAACTACAGCTCCCAGACTCCTCCTGGATTACCAACACCTGCGCACGCGGGTGTGCTCAGGTGCGGGTCATTTCTCCCAGAAACCTTGCGCTTCCCGTTAAGAAGCGAGCTTCCACGAGGTCTCACTCTCTTGTCCTTTTTACCCTTGTGTGTCTCGCACACCCATTCCTTATCGTGTCCCCCTCCCCCCCATTAAAGTGCACCCACGTGGGAGCCGCGTGTCTTGTCTCCTCCTTTTGCGTGTGTCTCGTCTATCCTGTGTTCGTCTACACACCCCACCTGCCGTTTTTAAAAGAATAATAGCCACTACACGGACATCTGGGGAGAGTGGCATCAAAGATCAAGAATGAAGCAAATACAATGGATAAAAATTATTTATCTCTGCCCAGGGAGGACATGATGTCCTCTAAAGAGACATTATAATTATCCAAGTTCCGGTGTTCTCTGTGGGCCCCAAATGTTTCTGCTATCTCATGCTATGCCTGTGGAACAGTGAACTGTGGGATCACGGGGCGAACGCCCCCGAAGCTTGTGAGTGTGGATAGGACGCCACGCGGAATGCTCCACCCTGGCTCCAGAGACAGGGCTGTGCTCTGAACACAGAGGCTCTGAAAGGTAATTTCATGTTTATTCCTGGCCCCTTTGCCGAGACATCTCACTGTGGACATGTCTGGAAGGGGCTGGGTTGGTTTGACGGCTGTGTGTGACTCATCTCATTCTGCTTTCTGACGCCTGTGCCAGCCTGCATGACCCACTTACCCAGCTGTGCCACGAGCTTCTTGCACACCGGGTCTATCCTTCTCATGGTCTTCACCTGATCTTTCTTCCGGAACTTAATCTCCACAGTGCCCTCCGGCTCTAGAATACCGCCCCTGAACAGAGAAGAGAAGAGAGGTATGGGGGAGGGGGCTAGGGTCTCACTGTTCTCCTGCCCCCAACTCCTTTTTCTTATTTCTTGGCAAGTATTATGACTCTGTGTGTGTGTGTGTGTGTGTGTGTGTGTGTGTGTGTGTGTAAGCCTGTGAAAGTCATAGGTCAATGTCAGCTGTCTTCCCTTGCCCTCCACTGTATTTTTTGAGACAGGGTCTCTCACAGAACTGGAGCTCACTGATTTGGCCAGGCTGACAGCTCGTCAAGCCCCAGGGCCTCCCTATCTCCGCCCACCACCCTGGGAGTCAAGGTTCTGTGTGCGTGCTGCCCACCCAGCTTCTTGCCCATCCCCGGACGGAGCCCTCTGAGGGTCTAACTAGCTCTGCGGAGAAGGCCCTGAGTGACACACCCACCTACTCTCTTTGTCGGCATACATCTCGATGCACAGGGGGTTGATGGTGGAGTCCAGGACAACCCATGAGCCCCCACGGAGCTCGGCATAAGGCGGGATATAGGTGAGAATTGGCTGCTTGTACTGCCGGAGGCCGTCCACGATGTAGGCTCCAAACTTCAGCATCTGCTCATACATGTCTGCAAAGCGAAGGCCTGCTTAGGACAGGCCCCAGTGACCCATCCATGAAGCCTACAGCCTTCTCAGCCCGGGCTGCCGAGGGAAAGCTGGGGGCTGGGCTGGGTCTAGCTCCTTCCCTCAGGGCCATGTGACCATGGGCAGTGCATGGGTGTGTCCTCATCTGTGAACACCGCAGGGTCTGCTGTTTTCCAATCCCCTCCAACTCTGAGTGAGATGCCCCAGCCCACCCCTGTATCCTGTATACACAACCCCCACAGCATAGGTCCCTGCTTTGAATCACGGGGAGGCCCCTCCAAGTCCCCATACCCTACATGGTGACACTGCAATGCTGGCCAGCATCAGTGCCTTGTGTGGAACCAGAGCATGGGACCCTCACTGCAGGGTCCCCATTCACAAACAAAGGGGTTGGGGACTCAGAGAAGTCACCCAGCTCTCAAGGATACACATGTGCCTCTCTTCCTCCTCAGCTGCTTCCTCAGCAGCCAGTGGGAACTGCTATCTCTCTGGACATTCGGGTGACTTAGAGGGGCTCGCGCAACCAGACGGTTGTGGATGGCCATATGCCTTCCTCACCTTCCCACACAGAAAGACAAACTACCCACGTCACCAGGGAGCTGGCAGAGCAGACCTCCCTGCCCTGCCCTTCACACGACCTCAGGAAGTCACCTGCTTCTCATGCTCAGTTCTCATCTATAAACCAGCTGGTTACTTGACCTGCCCGACTGCTGAGAGACCCAGTGGAGGGATGCGGAGGGGCTGCACTCACCCTTCATGCCACCCGAGAAGCCTCTCCAGTTGGCAAAGATGATGAGGGGCAGGTGCTCGCGGTTGAAATCCCTGATGGCCTGTGCTGTCTTGTAGGCAGAGTCTGGGAACCACACCTGGCCCGCCTGCTGGATGATCTGGGACACAGAGTCACTTAAGTCAGACAGTAACCCTGGACACAACAGGGCCAGTGGTCACAGCCTCTACTGTCCTCTACTGTTTACGTCAACTTGACCCAGAGAAACATTTCTCAGCTGAGAAAATGCCTCCATAAGATCCAGCTGTAGGGCATTTCCTTAATCATTATTATTGGGGGAGGGCCCAGCCCACTGTGGATGGGGCCATCCCTGGGCTGCTGGTCCTGGGTTCTATTAGAAAGTAGACTGAGCAAGCCATGAGGAATAAACCAGTAAGCATCACCTCCATGGCCTCTGCATCAGCTCCTGCCTCCAGGCCCCTGCCCTGTCTGAGTTCCTGTCCTTCAGTGATGAACAGTGATGTGGAAGAGTAAGCTCAACCCTTTCTTCTCCAAGCTGCTTCAGTTATGGTGTCTCATTACCACAGTAACCCTTACGAGAACATGTACCCTTATACATGCTCCAGAGCCAAGGCTCCCTAGGAACCCCAAACCCATACTCTCTGGACCTCAACAACTCCCCCTATTCTCATACACAGTCTGTCACCACACTGGTTTAGGCTGGACTGCAGATCCCTGTAGCAGTACAGTGGAAGTGGGGATGGGGTACACAAAGGACCTTTACCACCCAGGTAAGAAGCCTGGAATAAAATATTATGTGTCCCACGGAGGTATGAAGGGGCAACAGGCAGAGCCCCCAGGCCAATCAATCCCTGCTGGAGGCCTCTGCTCCCTGGCTCTCAGGAACATGGAAGCAGAAGCTTCTCTGGGCTGTCAGCAGTGGTCATAGTGGTCATGGCTCCTGGCTCACCTTGGCTTCAGAATCCAGGTTGGCAGGGTCAGCAGGAACAGCCACCTCCACAGTCCGAGTCTCCACGGCAATCACCCCCACGGGGATGCCCCCCAACCTGCAAGGTGAGCACACATGAGTTTAGCACTAGGCTGCCCTGTGAGATCTCAGGTCCCCAGCGTCTACCCAGCCTGCTGCAGGCACTTCCAGGTGGGACTGGGGGTACACTGGGGAGCTGGCTGAAAGGCAGAGGTGGGGAGAGCTCTAGGTGCCCTGCTAGGGTGAGAACAGTCAGGGCGGCGTGGTACTGAACCTCAGGCTAGGCATCTAAGAGGTCAAGTGTGAAACACACACAGTTCCCAGCGTTCAGCTTCAGAGTCCCCTCTGTGGTATAGGATGGAACTTGGGACTCTGCATGTGCCAGGCAGGTGCTTTGCAACCTAGCTACACCCCAGCTCTAAATGGTGACATCAATCATCCCGCGTGGCCAGCAGCTGCACACTGCGGAGCTTGGGTGCTGAACTAAGTTACACAGGGCAAAGTTTGAAGCAAGCCAGGATTGGTGGCATAGGTCTGTTACCCAGCTACCTAGGAAGCCAAGGCCAGCCTGGGCTACACAAGATACTGACTTGAAATTAAAACCAAAGAGCTGGGATATGGCTCATGGTACAGCTTTTTGCCTGGCATGCATGGGGCCCTGGGTTCCATCTCCAGTACTCAAAACTGGGGAGGGGGTGAGCAGCACCAAGTGCCAAAGAGTTTGGCTCAGATGAGACTATGACATCACTACCTGTCACTCTGGGCTGTCCTTTATCCCCACAGCAACCCTTACTAGGGAAGTGGGGCAGGGCCGTCTCCACAGGGAGAGCTCCGGGTCATTCCAGGATTGTACAAAAGGATTTGTAAAATAAATAGGAGACTATAAAGGCTAATGACACACAATTTTTACAGCTTTAACTCTGTGCATGTGTGTGTGTGTCTCTGTGTGTGTGTGCACACGTGTGCACGCGCGCATATGCCATGGTGCAGGTGTGGAGTGAATGGGCCTTTGGAGTGCCTGCTCTCATTTACCTTTAATGCAGGTTCTGGGGAACAAACTGCAGGGTGAGACTGTGACCTGCTGAGCCATCTCACCAGGGTCCTGTGCTTACAACTGAGGTAGAGAAAAGCCCTGTGAGCACTTAAAGAACATGTGATAGAGCAGGGCGTTGGTGGCACATGCCTTTAATCCCAGCACTCAGGAGGCAGAGGCAGGCGGATCTCTGTGAGTTCGAGGCCAGCCTGGTCTACAAGAGCTAGTTCCAGGACAGGCTCCAAAGCTACAGAGAAACCCTGTCTCGGAAAAAAAAAACAAAAAAAAAAAAGAAAGAACATGTGATAGATATGAAGAGCTCAGCATGGCACTGATCGCACCGATGGTTGTCACGCTAATCCTTTGGGCTCAATTATTATCTCCATTTAACAGACAAGGCTCTGGAAGCCTGGAGATGGGAAGCTTGGGGCTGGGTTCATCCCAATACAGGACCCAGCCAAGACAAGCTCAATAGAGGCCCGAGTCTCAGCAGTTTACCCTGAGGCAATACCTGAGACTACCCAGGCACCACCCAGAAACAGACTGTTAGGTTGGAAGTGACACCCCAGCCCCTGATACCTGTTATGATTTTTGTCCCTTTAAGAAACAAGCCACGCCCACTCCCTCCCCCATCCACTGAGGCAGGCTGATCTTCAGCTTCCAGCCTGAGCTCTCTCTCTTTCCATCTTCCTCTCGGAGAGGCAGCTTCGCTTCTGCCTCTCTCCCCACTTCTCCCCCCTTTTCTCTCTCTCTGTCCTCTTCTTCTCCCCACCCCTCCTCTAAGTAATAAATATCCAATTCTATTCTGTATGATGTGTCTGTCCACGTGTCTCCTACCCACCACCTGCTCACACGCCCGGCTAGCTGGAACCAGCCTGCCCGCCATGTGTCTCCCTGTCTGAGACCAGCCACCACTTGGGGACCAGCAGCCGTCTCTGCCTGGGACTGGCTGCTCCCAGAGCCTGCTACCTGCCTACTGCCGCTAGGGATCTTGCAGCATTTTTGAAAAATCGTAAAAAACACCCCTATATCCAAGGAGTCTGGGATGTTTGGTTGGAAGCATTACTCCACTCCCTTGCATCCATCCCAAGCCCCCTCCTTTTGGAGTTGCCACAGTCCACACTCCAGCTCTGAGAAAGCCCACCAAACGCCTCCCCAGAGAGGGTCAAGACCTCTCCCACAGGCTATTTAAACTCCCCCCCAGAGACCAAACACACGGTCTTTCCAGTTCTCCTTTCCCCTCCCCGGGGGGGGGGGGCCTGAAGGGCTACCCGGGAGGGCTGGCATCCATTAAACCTGGGCTTTTTCTAATTCAGTTTGATTTGGTCTGATTTGGATTATTGCCTAGGTAGAGAGGTTTGTTGGGCCGCAAAAATTTTACACAGACCATCCAAAGGAAATTCCTAATGATCCCAACCATTGTAGATAGGATCACCTGCCAGCATACACTCATCACTTTTCTCCAGGACACCCCTAGACAAATATCAGCCAATCAGGGGTCCTAAACCTTAGAAATCCCTCACTTTTGCTACTATAAAATCCAACTCTAATTGAGCTCGGGGCTCTCCGATCACTCCAATATGTTAGACACATGGAGAGACTAAGTTTGCAAACTTGTGTAAGAATAAAGACTTTTTGCTTTTACATACAGGACTCCTGGTTGGTTTTGAGGGGACCCAGTGATCTGGGTCTGTAGCTGTGATGTCATGCTGGGAATCCCAAGAGGATACAGCTTTGACCACACTCTCTGGTGACTGGAGCTTCTTTATTATCCTCTGGTTTACACTTTACCAAGTTCCATATCCCAAAAACATCTTAATTAAGCCTCCAAAGGGACAATGCCAAATGCAAATTCTCCATCAGGTATACCACAGGTTTCCCTGGTTTTTCCCAACCAAGTTTTGCATAGGCTCTGCACCTTTGGGAAACTCTCCTGCAGGATTACCATATGCTAAACAGAGGGTGCTGAAAACAAAAGGCAGATTAAGGCTACTGGGACACTCAGGAGCCAGCTACAGCTACGGAGGAGTTCCCCTTCTCACACACACACACACACACACACACACACACACACACACACACACACAAAACCTGATGGGTCCATCTAATGCCAACTTGTATGTACGTTTGTAGGGCTGACCACTTGGCACTGGACAGCTTCCTCCGCTGCCTGCCGTTCTCTGTGTGGGGTTTTCCCTGACCTGCTTAGCATGTTTATGGGTGTCATCCTTGTTCAGCTCACACGTTTTGTTTTTTACTTTTTAACTTTTGGAGTCCGTGTGGTATATAAGCATACATTGTGTGTGGGGGTAGGTATGGGTGTGTGCGCGTGTGCATGTGTGTGTGTGTGCCTGCACGTAGAGTTCACTGTCAGGTTTCTCTCTCTCTCATCCTCTGTCATAACCTGGAGTTTACTAGTAAGCTGCTAGGCTCTGGCTCTGTAACCATAGTGCTGGGATTCCCTGCACTGCTGTGCCAAGCTTGTCACGTGGGTGCCAGGGACCTGAACTCGGGCCCTTAGGCTTACATGGTCTTAGCCATTTCCCTACTCCCTAAATTTGCCTTTTGCATTCAGAAAAGTCAGAGACCAAGGAGAAAAGAGCTGTGGCAGTCCCGGCCTAGCGCTTGAGAGTCCCGAGCCTGGTGGGCAGCTGTGTGCAGCCCACTCCCATCTTGTGTCACCTTGCTCGTCCGGTCACCACGGTCTGAGCCCAGGGTGCCATGATTTCCATGAAACTGCCATGGTCGAAGAATCCGCTCTGCCAGGAACTCTTCAGAGCTGTGGGCAGAAGGATGGCAGTCCTGGCTGAGGGCTGGAGAGGCCCAGGGTCTGCCTGGTGGGCACACTGCAGCAGCTGGCTTTGACCACATAGTCCTGTGCCCTTTCTGCTGGAGAACCTTATTCTGGCCCACTGGCTATAGCTCAGTGTCCCTGAGAGGAAACAGCTCACCCATGTCCCAGAGAGACACACTGTGACAGCAGCAACGTAGCCACTGGTGAGGGTGGGGACCGTGTTGGGAGGGTGATGCAAACGGTTGTCACTCTGACAAGAGGTAGAAGGCCTGGCAGCGGCTGGATGCCAGGGAATAAACCCTCCTACTTCAGCCTCTGCCTCAGGGCTCGGGGCTATCCACAGGATAGAGCACACAGTGGATAAGAAACCGGATGCCTTCTAATGGAGCCGCTGCTGGAGGGTAAGGGTCTATAAAACCCAAGAAGCCACTGGAACCCTTGCCTCCAGCACAGCACACAAAATTCTAGACGTGGGTCGGCTTTGGGTGATGGGACAGCTTAGCCAGAGGCGTTCCTTGGAGAAGGAGAAAGTATGAGTGCATGAGTGTGCTCTTGTATGTGTGTGTGAAAGAAGCCAGCCTCCTCTGTGAGGGTCTAACCAGAGGGAAAGAGAGGCAGGAGGGAGGCCCTGGCCAGTGCTGAACCCTAGCCCCTGGCTCCAGAAACCGGAGCTGTTTCTATCCCTTGTTGGTCTATCCCTTCCTTTGAGCTCACATGTACACCCGCCCCCACCCCCCCACCCCCCAGTAAATAAGGACAGACATAAATGCTTCCACCAAAATGGCCCTTTACAGTAGACCCAGAAAAAAAAAACCCAAATCTGGAGTCTCCAAAAAACACTTTACAACTTACTTGGGTGAGGCCTCCCTGCAAGCATCCACCTGGGGTCATAGGGAGCTTTGGATGGGATGAATTCAATTTCCCTGTCGATGGGGTCAGTAGGAGTGATGATGGGGACTGGGCTGCGATTGTCCTAGAAAAAAAAAAAAACACCAAAGCCATTTCATTCAGTCCCTGGGGCATGGTGGTGAGGACCACTACACATCTGAATGCTCTCCCCTTTGACTATGCGCATGCCTGGCTGTGCAGCATGCCCTCAAGCCACGGCTCCAGCTGTAAAATAATTGGCAACTTCTGTCTGCATTCTCCTGAGACCTTTTAGAGCTCAGACAGAGTCTGGGAACCACTCAGGACCAGCATTCTCTCAGCTGGGTGACTGAAAAAACAGAGGCACAAATATCTGCTAGTTGAGATCTAGTTAGAGCGGTTCTGTGGGGACGACCGATAGCTAATCAGTCCAGTCCAGGGGAGTCCTAGGGAGGATCTGCAGAGAGCTGAGCCATGGGCATCAGTCCCCCTCACCACCATGGTAACACAGTTTCAGAAAGGAGAAAGAAGAAGGTCAGAAGGACTGGGAGGCTGGTCCAGGATTACAGTGCTTCTGAAGAGGAAGCCAGGAATGGATCCAGGCTGACCATGAGATATGAGGCCTGCTGTGGTCCAATGTTACCCTTTTCTAAAAGATTAGTAGCCAGCGTCCCTGCATCCTACAGCACATCAGAACCTCCCCAAAAGCAAAGGACAGGGCTGGGTATCAGAGATGGGAGTGGGAGGCCAAGCAAGCCTGGTCCTACCACCAGGAACCTAATCCCACAGGCTCCCCGGCTGCCAGGGAATACCTTCGGTATATATGACAGCCATTCCAGAATGGTACAGACTCCCTCGAAGTCATCTGGCACAGTGATGTGGGAGACCCCATTGTTGTGCATGATCTGCACACCTCCCAGCTGGTTGTTGGACGTGTAGACCTCTCTTCCCAGGACCTGAGTTGACACAGCACAGTTAGCAAGGACACTCCATCTTGCTGGGTCCTCTGCTCTGGCTGCCTGTCAGAATGACCTGGGAGCTTCTGAGACACCGGCCACCCAGGCTGTACCCAGACCTATCCCTTCAGGCATTGGTGGTCCCTGTGTCCTTAAGATTTCCGGGAAACTCTAATATGCAGCCCAATTTGGGAATCACCAATGCCCGTGTGGACATAAAGGGTTCCTGCTTCAGCAGCAGGTCTGCTGTTGGGCCTAGGGGTCAAATGTCCACCCAGATGCTGCTGATGCAAAGGCACACACGGAACTCCCCAGTGGGCTCTGAGTGGACATGGAGACTCCAGGGCCATGTGGGAAATCCTGCAGGACACTAAAACAAGCAGGCTCTTGGTTTTCACACTCATGGGTCAGACTTAACCACAGGCAAGCCGAAACGTAACAGTTCTCCCAAACATAGAAGAAGCAAAATTGTGAACGAGGCCTTTCTTAGTATCCTGCAAAGTATGGCACATCTTTCATAATATTTCTAATGTAAACTGGAGAGCTAGCTCCAGGAGCAGGGACCACAAGGGGATGGGGAAACTGCAAAGTGAAAAAAATATATCACTTGCCTCAGGAAAGGAACTGGGTTTCTGTTGTTGTCGTCTTTTCAAGACAGGGTTTCTCTGTGTAACAAACAGTTCTAGCTATCTCAGAACTCACTCTGTAGACCAGGCTGGCCTCGAATTCACAGAGATCTGCCTGCCTCTGCTTCCCAAGTGCTGGGATCAAAGGTCAGAAAGTGGTTTGTACTGTGAACCCACAATAGCTGGTGTGGTGGTGTGAATAACAATGTCTCCCAGACTCACTAGGAGTGACAGTAGGAGGCATGACCTTGTTGGAGGAAGCCTGTCATGATGGGGAGGGTTTGCTCTGAGGTTTCAGATGCTTAAGCTAGACCCAGTGTCTGTCCCTGCTGCCTGCTGGTCCAGATGCAGAGCTCTCAGCTTCCTTTCTGGCACGGAATCCGCCACTGTGATAATGAACTAAACCACTGCACTGTAAGCCACTTAAATGTTTTCCTTTATAAGAGTTGCCATGGTCATGGCGTCTCTTCACAGCAAAAGTCAGCAACAATAGCTGGCGAAGACAGCGGGCCGCGATATCTGACTGGGTCCCCACATCACCCCTCCCCGGGCCTCGCCTATGGTTACCTTGTTGAGAGCACTGGCTCCAGTGAGGATGATGTGGGAGTTTTCCACCTGGATCACCCGCTGGCCAAGTCTCACCAAGTAGGCCCCAATTCCGAGGGCGCGGCAGGTCACCTGTGGAGACAAGACCAGAGGCTGGTGGGTCACCCCCCGTGGAGAGTGGTTTCTCCCTGTATAGCCACAGCCAGCCTAGAACTCTCTAAAAGATGACCCGCCTGCCTCTGCCTCCCTGGTACTGGGATTACAGGTGTGTGCCACAGCTGGCTGGAGCCTGGCTCTCTCCAGCACCTGTCCAAGATTGGCTTCTGGTATTATCTGCACCTTAAACACTGCTCAGAGGCCCAGCTAAAGATGGTAGAAACCCTAAGAGGGGGCCCCTGTAGGGTTCCGTAGGAGATTAGAGGCTAGTCACCACGAGACCCACAAGACCCGGCCGGCAGGTTCCTCTATCTGCTCTGCCACACGTTCCCACAAGAGGTTCAAAGCACCAGGGCCAAGAGATCATGTGGACCTCTGAAACTCCGAGTCCAAATGAACCTTTTCTCTTATATTTTTGGTTGTGAGCCTAGCCTTTAACAGCTGAACCATCTCTCCAGCCCAACCCTTTCTCTTTGGAAGCCGAGTAAACCATGTGACTTTTATATGAAAGGAAGGAGGTAAACCAGAAGAGCATCGGGAAGACCAGCGGCACACACTGGCTCTGCTGGTGCTGAGCCCATCCTCAAAGGCCTCGAGAATGTGTAGGAACTGCTCACCCCTGAGGAAAATCTGCGCCGAGTCAATACCACGGGCCACGATTTCCAGGGTCTCTGAAACAGGCTTTTGTTATGTAGCCCAGGCTGGCCTCAAACTCCAGGTTCCCCTCCCTCAGCCTCCCAAGCGCTGGGATTGCAGGGGTGCAAGGCCACCTCCTTCCCCTTCCTGCTGTGTTTATGAGCTATGACTAGCTCCTGGGGCAGCACGTGAAGACAGGCCCTGAGCGACAGGTTCTCACTGAAGAGTTCTGTCACTGCCTGAAACAGCACAGGATTGGAAAGGTCATGGGGATGGGGCAATTTGTCACATAAAACTGTCAAACACGTAACACCCTTATTTTTTATTTAAAAATTTGCATCTGTTTATTTTGTGTGCATATGTATGTGTGAGTGTGCTTGTCACAGCACGCATGTGGCCGTCAGAGGACAGCGAGTGACTTAGTTCTCCCCTATTGTCATGTGATTTCCAGACTGAACCACGTAGTCAAATGGGGTGACAACCACCTTTGCCCCAAGCCATCTCGATGGGCCCCTATTTTTAATTGAATTTTGTGTTTGTCTGGTTCTGAGACAAGGTCCCATTATGTAGCCTTGGCTAGCCCAGAACTTGCTGCATAGACCAGACTGACTTGAACTCAGAGTGATTTTCCTGCCTCGGCCTCCTGAGTGCTAAGACTTCAGGGATTCAGAGAAAGAGTCTGAGTCAAAGCTGAGACCAGACTGAGCTCTGTGACGTTAACGAGCTCCAGGAGCTGCTGTACTGAAAAACTGTAGTCACACACAGAGCAGGGAAGGCCAGGTGTCAGCACTCAAGAAGCTTAGACACCAAGGATTTCAAGTTGAGGCCAGCATGGGCTAGTCTGTAAGGTCAAGTCTCAGCAAAGAGAGGGGAGGGCCTGGAGAGACGGCTCAGTCAGCAAAGTGCTTGCCAAACAACCATAAGGACATGAGTTCAGACTCCTAGCACCCATGAAAACTCAGGCATGGCCGTGTGCGCCCATAGTCTCAGCGCTGGGGAAGCAGAGGCAAGAGGGTCCCTGGGGCTTGCCAGCCAAAGTCAAATTGGCCAGTCACAGTCAAATCAGCCAGCTTCAGGTTCAGTGAGACTCTGTTCCCCAAAATGTGAAAAGTAACTGGAGAAGGTGCCTGATGTTGACCTCTGACCTCTGTGTACGTGAACTCACATGTATACACACATACACACACACGCACGCGCGCACACACACACACATACACACAGAGGAACACACAAAAACAGGGAAGAAAATGAGAAGGAAGAGACCAGAAGGGAACTCACCATGCTGACGGTGACAATTTCTTCGTAAGCCAGGGAGGCCTCTCCTGCAATCATGCCTGAGCCCCTCAGGTTCTCCATGCCTAGGTTGGCACTCTTCCCTATGATATCCATGATGACATATCTGCAAGGACCAAACATGATAAAGTCAAGGCTCCAAAAACAAAAACGGAAGTACTCATTTCCCACAGGTGTGGGGCAGGAGAGATGAGCAAAGACAAAGCGTTTGCTGGGACACAGAACAGAGGCAAAGCAAAGACAGGGGCTTAGGACCCTGGGACACTAATCTTCTAAAAGATCAAGGTTGGGACTCTTACTGAGGTGCCACCTTACCCCACATCCCACAGAAAACTAGCTTAGCCTCTGGTCTGTGGGGACACCAGGGACTATAAGGGAAAGACACTTAGTCATGATTCATGACCCGAAAAGGTGAGACACCAGCAGGCTCGTAGGAAGATGTTCTGACGGGTACAGTTAACTGAGTATTGCTTATTTCATTATGGAATTTTTTAAAAAATGTTTCTCAGGGCTGGATATATGGCTCAGAGGTTAAGAGCACTGGCTGTTCTTCTAGAGGTCCTGAGTTCAATTCCCAGCAACCACATGGTGGCTCACAACCATCTGTAATGAGATCTGGTGCCCTCTTTTGGCCTGCAGGGATACAGAACACTGCAGACACAATAAGTAAATAAAGCTTTAAAAAATGTTTCTCGTGAAATTCACACTCCAGAAAGTCACCTAGAGACTGCTGACTTGTTTGGTGCTGCAGCTGGGAACCTCTGACAGTCTCAGGCATCCAGATGGCCACTGAATCTTTGGGATGACTGGGTCACAAACTGTGAACTTTCATCCCTGAGGCTTCATGAGAACTTAGTTTACTGTTCCCTGCCTGAACTCTGCTATCTCAAGTAAAGGACAAACCACCGAAAGTATGACGCAATGGCAGAGCACCTGCCCACCGTGTGCGAGGCTCAGCAGAGAAAAGGAAAGAGGAGAGAGGGGGCGGAGGGACAGAGGGTCAGAGGGAAGGAGAAAGGGAGGGAGGAGTGAGTCATTTGGGGATAACCAGGATAAGTCACCTGGAGATTGTCCCAAATGGTTAAGTCTTCAGCCCCCCACATGGAAGCTCAGGGGTCCACCACCCACAAGCCTAGAGATGCGCCCCTTACAGGCAGCTGGGCTGAACTGAGGTTGCACTAGGGCTTGCCAGCCTGTGTTGTGTTTACCTGGATTCACCTTCATCCTCAATGTGCTTGCAGTGCACGGAGTTCTGGGCGCTGATCTGGGTGTAGTCTTGGGGCGTCAGGTACAGGTATCTAAATCCCTTAAAAACACACTCAGTGAGACAGGGAATCCAGTTCTGTGGACTCAACAGCCACCAGATGTTTTAAGGTGCCAGTGCCGCCCAGGATGGTTGTTGAAAGCATCAAGCTGCACAGCTGCACGCCTCAGGCTCACAACATCTGTAAACCATGTGACCACTTTGAGCTCATCTCTCTTCCCCACACACGGCCTCAGGCTCTGCCTGGTTACACACTGTGGAGAAATGTGTGTGCACTCATTTTTGCACATGTGTGTTCGTGTGTACAGGTCAAACCACCCAAATGATAGGGACCAGAAGTGTTTCGATATGTCTGAGCTTTGGAATATCTGCTTCTACCCAACGAGACACCTTAGGAATGGAACCCACGTCTAGATGTGAGAGCCATTCATGTTTTTAGGCACCTCTGGGCTAAAGGTGACCCTATAACATACTGTCATGATTCGGTGTCACTGTGACCCATCCCGTGAGCTGAGTCATGGAGAGATGAGGTTAGTGACCAAAGGGTTTCAGATTACAGACCATTTTGAATTTTAGATGTTTGGACTATGGGTGGGCTAAAAAAATAACAGAAAAAGAATTTTTGATTTCCAGAGTGGTTTTTGTCTCCTTTAGGGAAACGGCATCACTGTCCATGAGAAAGCGATCACCCCACTGTCTTCCGTTAGTGGTGTGTGCCTACAACCCCAGCCTTGGGGAGATGAGAGGTGGCGGGGGGGGGGGGGCTGGAAGCTTCCTTGCCAGCTAGCCCAGAAGACCTGATGGATTGCAAGTCAATGAGAGAACCTGTCTCAAAAAGGTAAAGAGTGACACCTGAGGCTGTCCTCACCTCTACAGGCATGTACACACGCACACGCGCACGCACACACACACACACACACACACACACACACACAGTCTAAGGCCTGGGTGTGGGATATTATCCACTTTGCATTCTGGGTACATATGGATTTAGAACCTGGCACATGTCACCTTCATGTCTACATGTCCCATTTATCATGCCCCTAAGGGGTGTTTTTGGCCATTTCTGCTCATCACTATGCCCCAAAGCATTTATGTTTCTTCTTTTCCTTTTTCTGAGACAAGGTCTCCCCACATAGGCCAGGCAGATCCTGAACTCTCTCCTCCCGCCTGAGCCTCCCGAGTGCCAGGAGGACAGGTACGTGGCACCGTGCTGGCTCAGTAAGTGGGAACTTTACTGAGACGCTGTGCACTACACGTGGCGCTCCTTCCCACCGTTCTGCAGGCGCCATCAACACCCCGCCAATGCAGTGCAGGCTGTGTCTCTTACCTGAAATGCATCGGGCTACAAACAAGTTAAATTTTGAATTTTTTTTCAGGCTGGCATATTTGCATATAAAAATGAGATCTCTTGGGAGTGGGCACCAGGTCTGAACACAGCGTTAATCTGTATCACAGACACCTCACACTCAGCTTCTTCAGGCCCCTGCGCTGTGACTGTCACTCAGTGAGGGAGGGCGGGGTGGACCTGCCATGTAGGACATCATGCTGACCCTTAGGCTTTGGGTCTGGAAGCATTTCTGATGTGGGACTTTGGATAAGGGGTGCTGCGTCTCTTCTAGGGAAGTGCCATCATGTTAGTACTTCCCCTTCATGACGTACTTTGTGGGGGTCCTCTGGGTCCACCCAAGCCACTTGGAATATCTGCTTGATCTCCTCGGCCAGACCCATACGGGCCCCACTGTTGGCAGCCAAGTAGATTTTGGGGATGCCCTCTGCCCGGGCCATCTCAGATGCCCGCAGATACAGGAAGTCCTCCTCTATGCCGAAAGAGCCGATTTGGAAGGTGATGTCATTGCTGATGACGATGACGTCCCGACCGTCTGGATACTCCGGGGTCTTAAACCTCATCTTGAAGGCCACCATCCCCACCTGGGAAAGAGATGCGTGCTGAGCAAAATGACTTTGGTTCTTCCAGGTGACATCCGAAGCAGGCTGACCCAAGCTGGGTTCTGCCCAGGTCCTACCTCATACCCACCTTGTACCCACCTCCCACCTCGTACCCCTCGTGCCCACCCCATGCCCATCTTGTGCCTCTCCCGTCCACCTCCCACCCTGTGCCCACCCCCACCTCCCACCCTGTGCCCACCTCCCGCCTACCTCCTACCTCATTCCCACCAGGAAGCCGGTTCATCTCCACCAGCTGTCCCTGGGAGTCCAACACAAGCTCTGTGTATGTCAGGATATCTTTGGGGTACTTTTCTGGGGAGCCCCACAGTTTAAAGAGAGCCTGGAGAAGAGGAAAAGCTTGGAGTCATGGGGAGAGAAGTACTGCCCTTCCCAGTTGGAGACAACACTGGGTAAAACTGTCCTGTTCTCAAAAATGAAAATGAAATTTATGCCCTGGCAATGCTGATGCACGCATGGGCAGCCCGTATATGGCGGATCTGTTGAACTTGTCCATACTGGGTGTCATGGTCTCAACTGATGAGGACGACTGTCCAGGTCTCTTCCTTGCCTGTTCTCGCCCTCTTTTTAAATCATGAACACACACATATTCACACACACTCACATACATATACAGGCATACTCCACATAATGATGATGATGATGATGATGATGATGAGGAGGAGGAGGAGGAGGAGGAGGAGGAGGAGGAGAGAAAAGACATTCTTTTTAAACCACCCGAGTTCAGTTTTAGTGAAAGTAATTTTTATTGCACTTTTGTATTTGTACATGTGTGCACAGGCACACCTGTGTAAGTAGGTACATGTACCAATGTGTGTTTGTGGTGTATGGATGTGGTGTGTATATGTGTGTGTGCATGGTGTGTGTATAGTGTGTGTGGTGTGTGTGTAGTGTGTATGGTGTGTGTGTGCCATGTGGTGTGTATGTGTGTAGTGTGGTGTGTGTGGTGTGCGGTGTAGTGTGTGTATATGTGTGTGTGGGGTGTGTGTGGGGTGTGTGTGGGGTGTGTGTGGGGTGTGTGTGGGGTGTGGTATGTGTGTCGTGTGGTGTATGTGTGTGTGTGTGGTGTGGTGTTTGTGTGGTGTGGTGTGTGTGTGGTATATGTATGTGTGTGTGTAGTATGTGTGTGTGGTGTGGTGTGTAGGTGTGGTGTGTATGTGGTGTGGTGTATGTATGTGTGTGTGTGGTGTGGTGTGTAGGTGTGGTGTGTATGTAGACCACAGGTTGATGTTGGGTGTTGTCTTCAATCACTTTCCACCTCTTTTTTGGGACAGTGTCTCTCACTGAACCCGGATCTCACTGATTATCTAGATTGGTTGCCAGGAAGTTCCGGGGATTGCCCTGCCTCTGACTTCAAGCGCTCAGGATGACATGTGTTTACACATGGTTTATTAAAGTGGGTTCTGGGGTCTGAATGCGGCCCTCTTGCCTGCGTGACAAGCCCTTTTCTCGCTGAGCCACTTCCCCAGCCAGGTTATACTTTCCAAAGTATTAATTCAGCTTGGGACTGGAAAGATAGCTCGGTGCTAAAGAGGGCTCTACTGCTCTCGCAGAGGACCCAGAATCCACACCGGGCAGCTCGCAACTACCCAGAACTCCAGTTTCAGGGGCTCCAACTCCCTCTGGCTTCAGTAGGCACCCGAACACATTTACCATGGGCAAGTAAACTCGGGATGTATGCAAGCACACAGTGAAGAATGAACAGAGAACTCCCGGTTGTTTCCAGTACTGTGCCTGTGTGTGCGCCGACCCCTGGAGCTGGTCGGGGAGTCACAGATACCCCTCAGGAGAACCTAACAACGCTCTACTTCCCTCCCTTCATTCCGAGACAGAGTCTCGCTGTGCGATCCAGGCCAGCCTCCCACTGCTACACTCAAGTGATGCCCCTGCCTCAGCCTCCCAAACAGCCGAGACTACAACAGGTACCACTGCATCCAGCTCCCCAGTCACTGTCAAAGAATGGGGGTGAGGATTGCTCAAAGCCAGTATCAGCCGCACCAGGATCACTTTCCTGTCTTGGTAACACACTGTGCCGAGCCAGAATGCATCCCTGGGGAAACGGAGCACAGGAATGCTGTTGTCACTGAGGAAATGGCTCAGGGGATTGTTCAGTTCAATTCCTTCTTTTGGCACTGTTTTTATGACTTCTTGATTATCAGGAGACCGATTACTTTAAAACAAAATGTACATTGTATACACATATGCTCATATACACGTGTACACAGGTACTGCCTCCTCTCCATGGCCAATTTAGCCTCAGAATGGGGCCTGGCAAGCAGCGGCTAACTTATAAATGAGCAAACAGACGAGAAGCAGGGGCTGGAGGCGATGGCTCAGTCAGGAAAGCAGGGTCCTCACACACACGAGGACCAGAGTTCAATTCCTATCCAAAGAAAAACCAGAGCTGGGAGGATGGAAAGAAGAGGATTCTGGGGGCTCCCTGGATTCTGGGGGCTCCCTAGCTGGCCATTCTGGCCAAATTAGCAACCTCCGGGTTAACTGAGAGAGCCTGCCTCAAAAAATGGGACAAGAGCAAATAAAGAAGATACCAGATATTGACCTCTGGCCTTTACACACATGCACACATGTGTACATGTACCAACACATACACACATGCAAACACATGCGAAATACATGAACAAACCAGGAGCAAATATTAAAACGTTGAGCAATTTGTCCCAGGCCATAGACTTTGAGTTACTTTTCTCTTTTCCCCCAACCCCCTTCGTCCTTTTTTTGGGGGGGGGGGCGTGTTTTTTTTTTTCGTGTTTCTCTGTAGCTTTGGTCCCTGTCCTGGAACTAGCTCTTGTAGACCAGGCTGGCCTCAAACTCACAAAGATCTGCCTGCCTCTGCCTCCTGAGTGCTGGGATTAAAGGCGTGTGCCACCACTGCCCGGCTCCCCTTCATTTTCTAAAGGTTTACAGCATGTCACCTGTCAGCAGGCCAGAGTTAGGCTTATTTTGGGGAAAGTATCATGAAGTCACTCCCACATTAACTAATTTTTTTCCAGGAAGACCTCATCTAGAAGGAATCTCAGAAGCATAACTTAGGACAAGGGATGAATTCTGGTGGAAGGAGGGGAAAGGACCCTAGAGGGCAGTGCCATCTGAGCCCGCAGGACTTGCCTGTCTGAACATCTCCGGGAAGTCATACACATAGGTGGTCCCCAGGGACTGCGCCTGGAATCGCTTGGCCTGGAGCAGATCTTTGGTGACGTAGGCTGTGTTGATGAGCATGCCATGCAGGCTTCCTTGCTTGTTGCTGAAGGAATGAAACATGATCTGGATGGAAAGAGAGAAAATGGAGAGGGGATGGAGAGGTGGCTGGGAGGTTAAGGGCATTGGCTGCTCTTCCAGTGACCTGGGTTTGAGTCCCACCCCAACCTGAGTCCGCAACAAAAGCTCAGTGAGAGGCAGCTCTGCAGAATGTATGTGCTTTGCCATGTGGCAACCAGAGCAGGAAGGGCGTGCGGAAGCAGGAGACTGAGCTCCAGTATGATGGTGGTGGCAAAGCCCAACCCCAAGGTGTGCAGATAAGAACCATGGAGAGTCAGGCTATGAGCACTGTACCTGTGCCACTTAGAGTTTGGGTAGCGTACTACAGTCAACTGTAATGTGTCCTTGTGAGAAGCTGGCTGAGAGGTACAGCCCAGTCACTATTTTGTCCTGTACTAATTTTTGCAACTTGAGAGTTTTGAGTCTCATCATTTCAAAATAAAAAGTACACATATATGCAGATACACACACATATATACATGTAAAATAAAAGGTACATATATACATGTAAAATAAAAGTACATATATACACATATATGCAGACACGCATATACATGTAAAATAAAAGGTACATATATACACATATATGCAGACACACACATATACATGCAAAATAGTTTTGGGTTCATTATAAAAACTCTTTCTGGGGGCTGGAGAGATGGCTCAGAGGTTAAGATATGCTGACTGTTCTTCCAGAGGTCCTGAGTTCAATTCCCAGCAACCACATGGTGGCTCACAGCCATCTACAATGAGATCTGGTGCCCTCTTCTGGCCTGCAGTCATACATGGAGGAAGCACAGTGTATTGTATAAATAATAAATAAAATTAAAAAAGTAAAAAATAAAATAAAAACTCTTTCTGAAAGGTGGTTGGGGGAAGCGTGTATCTCTAGGTAGACCAGTGTGTGTTCTGTATGGTAATTGCCACATATCCCTCTTCCCACCTACAGCATGGCCACGGGATGGAGTCTACCATAGGGCTGCATGCCCTGACTAGGAGGGTGAACAGACAGGAAACTACGATGCCCATCACATCCTGAAGCTATCTGCTGGAGGCTGCCATGATCCATGACAAAGCAAGGTGAGGACCATGGCGGTGGCTTCAACCCACATCTTGATGCCCAGATAGCTGCATCTCCTTTGACTTGTGACACCGTGGTGGCCACCCTTACGTTTCCGGATCTGGAGTCAGTCACTTCTTTGTAGACGCTGATGTCCAGGTAGTAGCCAGACTCGTTGGTGATGAACAGGCGGATGGGGATAGCACTGCCTGTTGTCGTCTGGCGGATGTTGATCTTGACCTCTGCCTGCAGCACTCGAAGCTTCCACAGCCGGCTGCCGTAGCGCATGACCATGGCTCGCACTGACTCCTCGATCTGCCGAGAAACGCACACCATCAGAGCCTACCCCACATACCAAGGCAATGCTGACAGCAAGGGGGCAGCAAGGCATGCAGGAGGCAAGGAGCCTGGCACCCAACACAAGCTATTAGCTGCTAACAACCAATGAGGATGGAACCCAGAGCCTCGGGTACTCCAGGAAGATGCTCTGCCACTGAGCTACATCTCCAGTGATAGGGTGACAAGGTGACGAATCTTCATGTCACCCAATCTTCCGTGCCTCTCAGGCCCATGTAGTTTTCTTCTGGACTGTGGGATCTAGTCAGGCCAGGGCATTAGCATGGGTCTTTATGGGTTCTGTGACCCTACAGATACTGGAGTCTTCTCTGGCCCTTTAATCGGCATGGCCGAGGTCTACCTACGGCAGAACCGGCCTGCGCACAATGCCCCAGCCTCAGACCTTAGGCTCTCATCCTGCCCAGCAGAGCCTGGAGGGGATATGAGCTCTGCCGGGAATTCTAGGCACTCCTGTCGTCTGAGCTCAGACATCTGGATGGACTGGCAGGTTTGTTCTCTCCTGATTCAGCTACGCACAGGCTCATCCTGAAACTCAGGGCTGGAGGGCCAAAAGACGCAACCCCAAAGCAGTGTGGTGTGAAGAATCCTGGGAAAGGCACCTAGAGCCCGGGAGAGCGCCAGCGGTACAACCTTGAGCGGGTCCATGATGACAGTGGGCACAAAGTTGAGGAAGATATGGTTGCAGTCGGTGCGCACACTGGTGTTGTTGAACGCCACCTCCAGCTCGTCCATGGCTTCCAGGAGCAGCCGCTCCCCTTCATTCTGCAGGTACTCGAAGGAGGCTTCCTGCCAAAGGAGGAAGGCCGGCCTCAGCCACAGGGCCTGCACATAGCTGGCAGGGAGCCCATGTACCCCCTCCTGGGGTGTCTGCTGAGATGCAGAGCCCAGGTGAGGGAAGAAGAAACTGAGACTGTGTGTCATATTCAGCCTCTGTCTTCCGCTCCCTGGTGCTCTGACATTTGGGGCTGCAGCACCAGAATGCTTAGGAGATGGCTCAGCAGCGAAAGATGCTTGCTGCCAAGCCCGATGGCCTGAGTTCAGTCTCTCCATGGTAGGAGAGAACTGACTCCCACAAGTTGTCTCTGACCTCTAAACACGTGTGGTGGTGCTCCCGCCCCCAATAAATACATATATAAATGTAATTTTTAAAATCCATCAGTGGCAGATTTGACTTTTTTAATCATCCCCCCCATACACACGCACGCAGTATGTCATGGACGTGTAAAGAAATGGAAGGCATTGTGAGTGGGTCTTTGTTCACACAGGCAGGGTCCACAAGTAAAACGTCCTGATGCTGGCTCCCAGTGGCTCTGGCCATCAGCAGTACACCTTCCATTTGGGATGGACTCCTCTCTAGAAAGGTCACCGGTGGACTGGCCCCTCCATAGAAGAGTTCTTGGTGCTTTCACGTAATCTTTTAAAGGTGTTTTGTGTATGTGTGGCAGTATGCTGTGTGTATTTGTGTGTGTGTGGTATGCTGTGTGTCTGTGTGTGGCGGTATGCTGTGTGTCTATGCATGTGTGTGTGGCGGTATGCTGTGTGTCTGTGTGTGTGTGGCAGTATGCTGTGTGTCTGTGAATATGTGTGTGTGTGGCAGTATCTGTGTGTCTGTGTGTATGTAGCAGTATGCTGTGTGTCTGTGCATGTGTGTGTGTGTGTGGCAGTATGCTGTGTGTCTGTGCATGTGTGCGTGTGTGTGGTGGTATGCTGTGTGTCTGTGCATGTGTGCGTGTGTGTGGCAGTATGCTGTGTGTTTGTGCATGTGTGTGTGCATGCATGTGTGTGCGCGTGTGAGTCTCACTGCTCAAGAACGTGTGGAGCACATGTGTACTAAGGCCTGAAGCTTACATTGATTGTCTTCCTCCATTGCCATCTGCTTTCTTTGGTTTTACTTTTTAAATCATGTGTACGTGTGTGTCTGTGTGGGGTTATGTGTGTTGAGTGCAGGCACCCATGGACTCCAGGGGCTGGAGTCACAAGCAGGTCCACTCTATTTCTCGACAAATGATCTCCCACTGATTTGGCTGCTCTAGCCTACTTGCCCTGGGAGTTCCCAGTCTCTGCTGGGATCACTGGGAGCCGACACAACTGCCTAGGTTTTTATACAGGTTCTGGGCTCTGAACCCATTCCTCAGGCTTGTGTGGCGACTGCTTCACCTACTGAGCCATCTACCCTACTCCTCATTTGACTTTAAAATGGTTTGTAACTGTATTTGAATTTTCATAATGTGAATACCAGTCAGTGGTCAGTCAGCAAACCCAAGAAATTTCCCGAACAAATCAGTATCTTTCCATCTATCCAGCTCTCTTCCCACACAGAAAACATCACAAAATACAAGACTCTGGCTGAGGTGCCACTGGCTGGGATGCCTACAAGAGCAGAGTCCTGTGTGCTGAGCATCTCTCCTGATCCCCAGCAAGCAGCCCAGGTGAGGACTTGGGGAAGAGAAGGCCGGAGCATGAGGAATGAGCTCAGGGTGGGGTGGAGGCACCCCATGCCACCTTACCTTGGTGATCAAGTCCGAGTGCCGGATGATGGCGCGGATGAAGAACCTGTGGTCGGTCACCTCCAGCCCTTCCTTCACCTTGGCGGCACCCAGGTAAAGATGCATCTTATGGTTGGCACAGGGCACAGCGGTCAGGTCAAAGTTGCGCATCCGGCTCAGCTCCAGCTGGAAAGCCAGGGCAGGCTCCAAGTGGCGATAAATCCGGTCTTCTGCAAACTGCAGGCCAGTCAGAGAGAGAAGCTGGCTGGACTGTGAGGACACACCTGAGCGGTCCAGGCCCCACGCTGCCAAATGCTGGCACTCAGAAATGACTCATTTGTTGTGCAACCTCATCAATGGGATTCAAGGGTTTTGGAGGTCACAGACACTGTGACACCAACTTCTGTATGCATCCCGCTTCCCCCAGGACATGCCAGAGCCACAGGCTGCTGTCTGTCTTCAACTTCTGAACCCTTCTTTATAGAGATGAGACCGCCAAAGGAATCAGCTGGCAGTTTTGGGAAACTGAACCAGAGAGAAAATGAAGCCCCCCTCCCCCCCAGAAGGATGGTGTTTAGCTGAGTAAAGCAGACCCTGAGCCAATCAAAACGCTGAACTTTGCTGGGCTCCTGGGTCCACGCTGGGAGTGAGGCCACCTGCTCTAGGAGTCAGAAGGGGCTGGGCTCTACGTGTTTTAGGGTGATGAACCACACGGATTTGGTAACTGTGAAAACCATGGGTCATATCTAATGACATGGCTTTTACTGTGCTCCAATATTTATTTATGAAGCAGGCAGCTGGAAGTCAGCTTGAGCACAGCATCAAACACAGAATTTAGCAAGTGGGTAGGAACCCCATGTGTCTGAGCCAGCTGCAGAAAACACGCAGTCCTTCTGGCAGTGTAGTCCCAGGGAAATGTCAGGGCCCACACCTCAGGCTCTGAGCATGCCTGCAAGGCTGGGGTGGAGGGCACCCACAGAAGGCAGTGTCCACACTTTCACCCATACCTCGTCTCTCGCTCTGAACGTGAAGAACTTGGGAAATTCTCTCTGCAGAAAGAAATCCAAGCAAGAGGCGATTAAGTCAAGCAAGACTCTGACCCCTCCCTCTGCCTATTTTGTGATTATTAAAGATGACTTGTTCTATTTTCAGAATGAGTTCTCCAGAAAGACTGTTCTAGAAACTCATTGCTTCTACCCCACCCTCGAGAATAAGTATCAAATACCTGGTCCAGAGGCTTGGAGAAGAGAGAAGACAATGAACTAAGGATTGGGACTAACCTCTTGGGCGATAAGGAATGTGATCCTTCGGAGTCCATAGTCCATGAGAATGTGTTTCTGCATTAAAAGCCACAGATAGTAGAATATTATTTGGTTAGTAAAGCCCCAGTGTCCTGATGCATGCATGTGGATGAACCCTACAAGTGTAATAAATGCAAGAAGCCAGTCAAAATCCTGCCTAGCAGGAGACATGCAGGAAACATTCAGAATTAGCAGTCTACAGAGACAGGCAGTGGGACAGTGGCTACATATGCTGGGCTGGGGAGGAGGCTGGGGGAAGGATTTGGGTTTGGGTTTTCCGGGAGGCCATGTTGTAAAACTGACAGTTGGATGAAGGCCGTGCAACTCTGTGAACATATTTAAAAAGCGTCAAATTGTATACTTTTTGATATTTTTTTTGGAGTAATGGGATCTGAACCTAGGACTTTTAGTATTTCAGGCAAGCATTGAGCTACATCCCGACTCTGAATTATACCCTTTCAATGGCTGTGTTATACACTAGGTGACTTATAGCTCAACATAGCTAAACGCTGTGTTCACACAAGTCCTGAGATGTGTGCGAGAGTGTAAACTGCGAAGCTCTGTACAGAAGACCCCGGAGCAGATGGCACTCAGTCAGGACACAGCCACATTCTTCTGGGGGACCGGGGCACCCCCTTCTGGTCTGAACACTGACCCCCAGAGTGAAAATTCAGCTATATCTACACATGACCTTAGAGCTAATTAAAACATTACATAAAAGAAGAATTGCTCCCAGCTGCTCCCCAAATGGAACACACAAGACAACATATAGGTTTATGAAGAAAGACAAACCCACAGGACAAGAAAATATGGACGTTGTTTAACGGCCTGGTAAGGAAAGTAACAAGGGAAACAGTCTTTGCCTGTCCAATAAGGAAAGCTGGGTGAGCAGCACTTGGGAAGCAGAGGCAGGAGGATTATTCAAGGCCAGCCTGGGCTACACAGAATGTTCCAGGCTAGCCAGGACTACAGCATTAGATCTTATCTCAAAAAACAAAAGATAAAACCCCCAGCAAAACAAAAACAAGCTAAAGAAACACAAGTGCACCAAAGACATTTGAGGAAAATAACGGCAAGCACAGGCACAAGGGGCTGAGATGGCGCAGTGGTTGAAGCACTGGCTACTCTTCCAGAGGACCCAGGTTCGGGTCCCAGCACGCACATGGCAGTGCACAACTCTTAACTCCATTTCCAGGGGATGTGACTCCCTGTTTTGGCCTCCAAGGGCACTGCACACATATGGGACACAGACCTACATGCAGGCAAAATACCCACAGAACATTTTAAGTTAAAAAAAATTAAAACAAAGACACCACAGTGGGTGAGTAGTTGGATCATGAGTTCTCTGCTAAGGAAGTTGTGCATGAGTGAATGCACGTGGATGTGTGTGCATTAGTGAATGCACGTGGATGTGTGTGCATGGGTGAATGCACGTGGATGTGTGCGCATGGGTGAATGCACGTGGATGTGTGCGCATGGGTGAATGCACGTGGATGTGTGCACATGGGTGAATGCACGTGGATGTGTGCGCATGGGTGAATGCACGTGGATGTGTGTGCATGGGTGAATGCACGTGGATGTGTGCGCATGAGTGAATGTGTGTGAATGTATGTGCATGAGTGAATGCACAAGGGTGTGTGCAGAATGCACGTGGATGTATGCTCATGCATGAGTGCACATGGATGTGTGTGCACGAGTGAATAATGCACATGGATGTGTGCCCATGAGTGAATGCGTGTGGATGTGTGCACGAGTGAATGCATATGGATGTGTGTGCATGAGTGAATAATGCACGTGGATGTGTGCCCATGAGTGAATGCACGTGGATGTGTGCCCATGAGTGAATGCACATGGATGTGTGCCCATGAGTGAATAATGCACATGGATGTGTGCGCATGAGTGAATGCATATGTATATGTGCATGCATGAGCTGTATGCAAATGTGTACCAACCAACATGTTTAATACAAAATCCCAATAATAAAACTGTACACATGCCCACCTCCTAGGCACATACCCTTCTAGCATGCCTCTCTTCAGTGCATCAAACATAACACATAATCCTCACCTATCACAGCTATCCCCCTGGAGTGGCTCCTCTCCACAACTATGTGGCACCCATGATACTCTGCAGGATTCCTCACTGTCTGTCCTTGCAGGGCTGAGTCTCACACCTCTCCCCACCACCCTCCCTACATAAGAACCCCAAGAATTGTTGAGCTGCATTTGATGTGGCTAGGGATCAGGCAAAGCAGCCCCCATTTCAGAGGTTCCTTCACACAGTGGGGCAGCAGCTGCTCAGGGGTCCCATCACACAGTGGGGCAGCAGCTAGTCAGAGGGTCCTGTCACACAGTGGGACAGCAGCTGCTCAGGGGTCCTGTCACACAGTGGGGCAGCAGCTATTCAGAGGGTCCCGTCACACAATGGGGGAGCAGCTATTCACAGTGGGGCAGCTGCTGCTCAGGGGTCCCGTCACACAGTGGGGCAGCTGCTGCTCAGGGATCCCGTCACACAGTGGGGGAGCTGCTGCTCAGGGAACCCGTCACACAGTGGGGCAGCAGCTGGTCAGAGGGTTCCTTCACACAGTAGGGCAGCAGCTATTCAGAAGTCCTGTCACACAGTGGGGCAGCAACTGAAAGCACTATCAGCTGGGACAGGAAGAAATTAGTGGAGCAGAGGAGTGGAGATGAAGTCCTCTCATCCCTGCCTAGAGGATGGGGCTGTGGGTTTTGTTTTTAAACTACCTTCCAGAACTCAGGAGGTAAAGACACTTGTGTCCAGACCTGACAATCTAGGTTTGATCCCCACGGTTCATATGGTGGAAGAGAGAATCAACTCACACAAGTTGTCTCCTGGCCTCCACAAACACATAAATAAATAAAATCTACTTTCAGATGTGTCTGCAGTTAAAAAGTTTTCTTCAGTGAATAACTTGAACTACTTATTATAGAGATAAAGCCTAAAGACATTCACAAAAATAATGTCCCCAGTTAACAGAACTCAGAACCTGGCATTCCTTCCCTGGACCAGAAAGCATCTTTTCAGGGCCCCAAGCCAGGTGGAGGGAAGAGGTCCCTCCTACAGAGACATGCATACAGACAGACAGACAGACAGACAGACAGAAAGTCAACAGCCGGAGTTCCCCACATGAGGTTAGACTAAATCAGGAGGACCAAGGACTGACGTTCAGACAGCCTGGCTGGAGGAATCTCAGCATCCCTCTTTACAAATAGAGAAACTGAGGTTCAGAGGGGAAAGTCACACGGTGACGAAACCCGCCGGCCTGGCAGTGCCATACCTGCCACTCTGCTCACACCTGTCTGCAGCTGGAAGTCTGAAATGGACACAAAAGCTGGCCTGGCATGAGGACATCTGCAAGGATCAGCTGCCACAGGTCTGCACACTCCTGTGACCACTTCACAAGTTTCCTTTCCCCCCAATATTTCTGACCTCTGCTTCTAACTAGGCACACATGTGTAACATTGGTCATTTCCTCAGCCTGGGAGAGACGCTGAGGTCCGCCATGTCCTCTCACAAGGACCCTGGCTTCAAAGACTAGCAGAATTAGGGCAGAATACCAGGTCTGGACCTCTCAAACTCCCCCAGGCCATCTCAGGTGCTCAGCGCCCTCCTCAGGCCCCGCCCTCCTCTGAAGGAACCTGTTACCTCCATGGTTCCCATAGAACCCTGTGCCTATGGTTACCATGGAAACTGACAGGCTTAGTCCCTTGCAATGTGAAAGGCTTTGAGGAGGTGTCACCTCCGAGTGATATCATTGGGTCCTGGAGACAAGACCGGTGGAGAGGGTCTCACAGCAAGGGTCAGTTCAGTGAGGGAGGGTTAGTGCGGCCCCTCCCTCTCCTGCATGCGTCCTGAGATGGAACACCATTCACATGCTGTGCGACTGCAGGGGCTATGGTGAGAGCCAGCAGAGTTGCTGGTGCAACCTCCAGAATGCTTAACTTTAAAAAAAATTAGGTTTATTTTATGAATCTGAGTGTTATGCTTCTTTGTATATCTGTGTAGTAGCAGTGTTAAAGACAGTTGTAAGCTGTTGTGTGGGTACGGGGAATCGAACCTGAGTCCTCTGCAAGAGCAATAAGAGCTCTTAACTGCTGAGCCATCTCTCTAATCTCCCACAAACGTTTTACTCTATTCCCAACCTCAGGCATTCTGTGACAGTGACACAGAGCAGGGTACGACAGCCTGTCCTCTGGGAATACCTTGGACTGCACAAAGGTGCGGAGAATTGGCACCAGCGCGTCGTCCTCCAGGTGCTCAGCGCACTGGATGGCCACATTCAGGATGTGGATGGGCTCCTCTCGAACGCTCTGTAAGAAAAAAACAAGGGCTGGGGGCAGAGGGCAGGACCACAGCCTGCCCCTCCCCAGAGCTGCACATTATCCGCTGGGCTTACCTTGCCATCCTCATACAGGGAGGTGCAGGCCTTCCTGAAGAGGGGAGTGTCTTTAGGCACGTTGGCAAAGCAGGAGATGACGTCATCAAAGTTCCTGGGGGGTGAGACAGAAGAAAACTGAGGGTCCTGCCTCAAAAGGATGTGGTCCGTCCTTGTGGTGCAACAGCATGCCAGAACTTTGGGCTCTTACCTAGTTACATCCCTTAGCACCATGGACCAACCTTTCCCATCTCTCCCTAAGGAGTCTGTAATTTCTTTTTTTTTTTTTTTTTAATAAACTAAGATGAGTTGTTTTTGTTGTTGTTGTTATTTTTTGTTTTGTTTTGCTTTGGTTTTGGTTGTTCAAGACAGGATTTCTCTGTGTAGCTTTAGAGCCTGGAACTAGCTTTTGTAGACCAGGCTGGCCTTGAACTCACAGAAATCCTCCTGCCTCTGCCTCTTAGTGTGGGGATTAAAGGTGTGTGGCACCACCGCCCTGTTAGGAGTCTAAAATTCTTAACTGCTGTGCCTGTGTCTGGGTTTCCCTGAGCCCGAGTGAATGAATGGCTGGGGGTTGGGGAAGCCACACAGCTCCTGCTCCATACCTGGTGAACTCTTCAAATTTCCTGAAGGCGACCATGGCCCCCATGCGCTGGCACAGTGGGGAGAAGCCACTGTCCATGAAGAGTTCCGTGCTGTGTCTGAGCAGGTCAGGGTTAGAGACGGTGACAGGCATGGCCATCCTGCAGGGGGCGAAAGAGAGGTTGGGGCAGCTGATGCCACCCTGGGAGTTCTTCTTGCATAGGATGCTTTGGGATTCCTGAGCAGGACAGGATAAGAGCCTTCCCTGAGACAGGGCCTAAAGGAGACTGCAGTTAGGGGCAGGCGCTGAAGGAGCACATCAGATTCCTTGGACATGGAGTAGACAAGGAGCCCAGGCACTGAGTGAATGAATGAATGAATGAATGATGCAGCTAAAGTTCAGTCCCAACGTAGTTCCAGGGTAAATCCAAATAGGTGAATATAGAGAGGGTAAGCTCCCAGCCTCAGTTTCCCCTGGAGAGCCCCCGCTCTAGGCAGCTGGTAAGGATGCAAGCTTGGTCCTGGGATCATTCCAGGCCTCCACTCTCTTCATTTCTTCCATCAAATCTCCCTTGGGATAAGGTCAGTAGCTGCTAAGGATTTAGAGGGCCACCGCTCCCAGGAACTAATCCAGTCTGGTCATGTGAGGACTCTAGAATCAGGTGTGGGAGGGGTGAGCCATAAGGTGTGAAAAGACTGTGCCCAAAGGCCAGAGCAGCTCTGCCCTCCCTGGGAAGGAGGGCCGTTGCACAGTGGCCCTCAGCTGGTGATGGGAACTGGGACTTGGGAGTGTGCCCTGCTGTGCTGCCATCTCGGAGGGCCATGCCGAGCACTGTGGGACTGGGGAGCTGTACTGTCATTTCTTTTAAGGCAGCACATGGGTCACTAGACACGAGACAGAGATGGGCAGGGATGATTATCTCCATCCTACAGATGAGTGTGCAAGGCCACGGAGCCCTACAGGTGGGAAAGGTCTCCTCTGCGGCTCCCCGGAAGCCAGACGTACTTGCTGGATCCTTCCAGCGACAAGAGAGTGAGGAAAGAAACAAGGAGAAACATTCCATACCGGTTGGGGTGGGAAGACGGCAGCATGAATTGGAACTCCACAAAGCAGGTGCCATCTGGGAGCTCCCGGTGCTGTAGGCTGTTTAACTCATAGGCGATGTAGCCTCTCCGCACATAAACCTGCCAGAGCAGAAGGACAATGGCGTTCAGAGGCCAGCCGATTCTGATGGGGTGAAGGGTTGTGCACAGGACCTCTGTATGCTCCCTAAGCTGCATGAAAGTGGATTTCTCAAGACAGCGGGAGACACTGTTTCTGCTGCAGCGTGGAAGCCACCCTGAAAAAGTGAGTGTGTATATGTGTGTATGGTGCTCACTAGCCAGGCTGGTCCACACAGTCCTAGAGAGAGCCGTGGGGTGAGCGCTGCAGGCCTCAACAGCAGAGAGGCTGCTGGAGGAGCCTGGATTTGGGGCGCATCCCCTCTTTTCTCTGATTAACTTCCTGGGGCCTAACTGTCTTGATGCTGTGTGATGGACACGTGCTTTTGGTCTCATAGTTCTGACATCACTACACACCAGGCAGAGGGCTACTGAGCCCAGTCCTCACTAAAAACCCCCGATGCTAAAAACACCTGCTGTCCCATGAGCTTCCCAGGTGTCAGAGGAGCTCCCTCACTGTGATTCCCCTCAGAGAACTCCCCAGGATCCCCACCCTGGTCCCCTCAGCATCACCCAAGTGCCTGTCTCTTTGTTGTCTGCCTTCCACTCTGTGTAATCCATGACAGACGTGACCATGACAACCCAAGTCCTGTGTAAATCATTGACCTGGAGTGTGCTTGGGGACCCCAACCCTTTAAAAATAAAATCTGTCTTCCACGAGACTGAGCCTAGACTGTCCATTCCCGGGCTCCTGAGTCACCAGGAAAACGTTGAAACACGTTCGGCCATGCGCCTGATACAGAACTGAAACATGAAAGTCCATCCTGGAGCCACAGACAGCTTGGTGGGTAAAAGCAGCATCTGCACAGGCCTGGCAGTCTGAATTTGATTTCCAGATCCCATGTAAAAAGCCAGATGTGCTGGCGTGCATCTGTGTTCCCGGTGTGGGAGGCTGGAGAACAAACCAGAAGCTCCGAGTCCAGTATACAACCTGGCTGCAGAAATGAGAGACCCTGCCTCAAAAAGTCAAGCTGGAAGGGAAGAGCCAAACCCAGACAGATGAACTTTAACCTCCGTGTGTCTCCGTGGTACATGCACACTCTTGAACTCTGTCTAGGTCTCTCTCACACACAAAAGAATTTATTAACTAACTAAAAGTTTTTAGATGGTACATCCTAGAGAAAGCCCTCACAGACACACAGGGATTAACACTGTCAGCACGCCTGGTGGGTGTGCTGGCCTTGAGGTGAGGCCTCAGGACCCCTTATAGAGTGAAGGCCGTCAGCCCATGACCCCTGCAGCCGTCATGTGCTCAAAGACCCAAACCAGCCACCTTGAAGCCCTAGGCAAACCTGGCATGGAGTAGGTGATCCACGGGGTCTAAAAGGTGCAGGAAAAGGGGGGCTCACGAGGAGGGGAGCCTGAGCGTGAGGGTAAAGGGTGAGATAAAGCCATCAGTCACTCAGTCCAGGATTAAGAGAGGTCCTGAGGATGGGAGTCCCCTCCTCCTATTTGCAAGAGGCATTCCTGAGAGGACCTGAATGCTGCTGGGCTCTTGTGCTCAGGGAACCCAGCGGCTGTTCCACTGGGAAAGCCCTTCCCTGTCCCAAGGCAGGTTGCCTGCATTTTCTGCGCCAGGCAGGGAAGTCTGTCCGAGATACCAAACACTCATGAATAAACAGTTTGGACAAGGTGCATCTGACACGGCACTGGGGAGTAGAATCAAGCTGTGCCCTGTCCGGAGGAGCCTGTGATGCCACAGGGCACGGCAGTATTCCTGGCATGGACTTTGCAGAACTGATAAAATGTGAATCTTGATTGTCTCTGGCTATGTGGCCTTGAGAAAGTCACCTCCCCACTCAGCTCAGTTTCTCTCTCTGTGAGATGGCAATGCAACCCCTTCCCTGAAGAGAAAAGGTCGCATGTGCCAGGTGCACAGCTCACGGTCCGGCCGTGCAGGCGGGCGTACACTCTAGATGACTTGCTACTGCTTACCTCCAGCGACGCCATACAGACGACCTTGTTAGCGTGGTAGAAGAAAGTTGGCAGGACGTCGAATATCGTCGTTTCAGAAAGTATCAGTTTCTATGGGGAACAGGAGAGGAAAGGCAAACAGAGCATGAGCAGACTGACCACAAGCCGGGCAGGAGCAGCAGGCACAAGAAGGCTCTGTCGCGATCATTGTCGCAGTCAGGTCTTCCAAAGCAGGGAACTCCTTTGCACACAGCCTTGGGAGATGGGGCAATGAGGGCTGTGGGGTGACTGTGGTCAGGACAAGGCCCCAGCTTTAAATGTTGATTGGTGTCTAGAAGTCTACAATAAGTCAGGACCCTGGCAAGAGCCGGGAAAAAGTAGCCCTATCCCACCACCACACAAAGGGTTTGTGCCTCCTGGCATGTTCCAGAATGCCTTAATTTAAAGCCTGTACTGGCCAGGAAAGCCTGTTGCCCTGTGCATCCGGTGATCAGACTTCCACACCTGCAACTCCCAGAGCCTGCAGATGTCTCTGGGACCATCCCAGCCACTCTGAACTCCATGTCACTAAACTGGGGGAGCCTTGAGGGGAAGGAAAACCATGGTCCCAAAGACTCACTTTGAGGTTTTCTGGGCAGAACTGGTGGCCGTACATGTCAATGGCAGACAGGAAGATGGATTCTACCTGGTTGTGTCGCAGCTCGTAGGAGGGGAGGTGGGAGGCAATCAGGACCTGTAGGGAAGAGGAGGGAAGACAGAGATAAGAAAAGCTGGGAGGGGGCAGGGCCGCATGCATGCATGCACATACATGTGCACACACAGCAACACACATGCACACACGTGTGTGCACACACAGCAACACACGCACACACAAGCAATGCATGCACACGCGCGTGCGCACACATAGTAACACATCCTCATGCATGCACACACAAAGAAAACATGCATACACACGCATGCACACGCACGCACGTGCGCACACATAGTAACACATACTCATGCACGCACACACACAAAGTAACACATGCACACACATGCATGCACGCACAGCAACACACTCACACATGCGCACACACACACAGCAGCACACGCACATGCATGCATGCACACACATAGCAACACACATTGAGACCAACCTGCCTGGCTCTGAGGGCCACCTTGCAGTGCTCGCTCCTGCTCAGCTGCGTGAGCTCATTGAGGATGGAGGTCAGCTCGTCTGACAGGGTGGGGTCTGGGCCACAGAGTTCATCCTTCAGGGACAACAACAGAACCCAGGTTGGCTTTGCTGGAGATCTGGCCAGCACTTAGCTGGTCGGGAGTGGAGGTCCTTGCCTCTTGTCACATGGGTATGGCCTCACATCACACATTCATTTCCTGACTCATGGACCCTCACATCTGATGGGAAGGGAAATCCAGCAGACCTCTTTACCATGTACTATATGTGTGTGTGAGCATGCACACGTGCACACATGCATGTGGGAACAAGACCAGACCACCTCATACGTCTTCTCCATTGCTCTTCACTGTATTTTCTGAGTCAGGGTCTCTCCTGAACCTGGAACTCGGAACTCACTGATTTGGCTAGTACCCTAGGCAGCTTGCCTTGGGGAATCCCTTATCTCCACCTCCACTGGGATTACAAGTGGGCCACCACATCCACTAGCTTTTTATGCAGATGCTGGGAGTCCAAACTCTGGTCCCCACACATGTACAACACATGTTCTATCCACTGAGCGAGCCATCTCCCTGGCCATGCCCGCCTTCCTTCTGCCAAGGGAGGAGCTTTTTGCTGCAGACGGCACTGTGTGCACATGGCCTGTTTCCTCGTGTGTCTTCGCTGTAAGAAGGGCTTGGGGGACCATAAGAAGGGGTCTCTAGACAGCCACTGGAGAGAGGTCTGTGATGGGAGGAAGCAGGTTTGCTAAGCCGCTGACCTCCACTACCCTAATTAGCCCACATTGTCTTGTAAGACACATTGCTACCTATAGGCTGAGTCACCTCTCACCTAGACGCATGATTTGTCCCAATCACAACAAGCGCTGGCTCCTGTGGAATCCCAAGAACAGCCTGTCACTCTCTCCCTCTCAAGTCCCAATAGGGTCAGTCAGCTGTAGCATTGCTCCTTCCTCCCCTCCCTGTGGCTGCGGTCCAGCAACTGGGCTTTCCAAGAGGCCCAGCCAGCATTCAAAGAGCACTTCGTACGGGCTGGAGAGATCGTTTGGTCATGAAGAACACTTAATGTTTTCACAGAGGACCCGAGTAAGGTTCCTCGCACCCACGTCAGTAAGCTGAAACTCCAGCTCTCTGTGATCTGCCAAATGACGGTGACAACAGTCCACATCCCTTGGAGTTGGAGAGAACCTAGCAGTAATGGCATAGGGCGGTGCACTTCTACAGTCCCGACTGCTTAGGAACCTTAAGCAGAAGGGGCTCTCTAGCTAGGGGTTCAAGATCAGCCTGAGCCATATACAACAACAGCAGTAATAAAAATAATCAAATGAATTTAGTATACAACCTTTAAAACTAATTGATAAATGTTTAAAGCAACAAAGAGGGCTTGGCACAGAGCAGGTCCTTTGTGTCACTGCCTACTGTTACAAATAAAGCTTTATTGTGCAGTCAGACTGTAAGCAATGGCAATATCATATAGCTAGGTCAACCAAACCTAGAAATTATTGGGACTAGGCTGGGGGTGTGGCTTTGTGACAGAGGATTGCCTAGCAGGACTAGGACCTGGGTTCCACACCAGAACTGAAAAGGGGGGAAGGAAAAGGAGGGAGAGGAGAAGAAGGAAAAGGGAGAAAAGCCCTGCCCCACCCCGACCTGGAGTGCTGGTCCCCATCTTACTATCAGCATGATCACCAGCTGGTTCTTCTTGGCCACCTGTGCGTGTGAGAAGATGCAGTCCAGCACCTGGGTCATGTCCGGCTTGAACTGCTCCCTTAGGTTGATGACACACTTGTCATAGTGGGCTGTGAGGGAAACAAGAGACCCAGAAGGGTGAGGTTGGCACGTCCCCCTCGCCTTGCCCAGAGTTTGTGCCTGTCACCAGTGGTGGGTAGCATCTCTTGCCTTGCTGGAAATGATGTTCCACATTCAGATACTTCCGCAGTAGGTCCAGCACCACGGTCTTCATGTAGCCACGGGTCCCGCTGCGGTACCTAGGGGACCAGAAGCCGCCCTGTCGCCATGCCCACCACCTCCTCAACCCCGAAATAGCACAGCTAGAGCTGTGGCACCTTTAAGAAGGGAAGCACAGGCGTAGTGGCCCATGCCTGCAAGAGCACTCTTCCTACAAGGAATTGGAGTTTGAGGGTGGCACTATACAGGGAGACCGTGTCTCAGAAAAGCAAGAGCTGGGACGTAGCTCAGTGGCTGAGCGTGTCCCTAGCATGTGCAAAGCCCTGGCTGCAATCTGCACTGCAAGAGGAGAAGAGAGAAGATAGGAAAGAGGAAGGAGGGAAACAGGGGGAAGGGAAGGGGAAAGAGAGAGGGGAGGAGGAAGAGGAGGAGGAGGGGGAGGAGGAAGAGGAAGAGGAGGAGGAAGGGGAGGAGGAGGAAGGGGGTACACTCCAACTCCTCAGGCCCGGAGAACCATGGAGCAGACTTAGCTCTAGCTAGGCATGTCAGCAGAACTATGACTTGTCCATCAAACCAGAAACCAGATTATACCAGTCTCCAGACTAAGCCTCCAGACAAGGCCAGAAAGAAGGGAAAAACCTTAAGAGTCGAGCTCCTAAAAAGAGGAAAGCTGATTTTAGTATATTTTAATTACAAAACAAAAATTTCCAATGACCTATGTAACATACAAAGATGTTTTTTAAAAAGTCAAACTTGAAGATGTTTGCCAATACTTTTTGTAAATTTCCCTTCCTTTTAGAAACAGAATGATATGTGGTATTACTCTGTGTTTTTCCTCTTCTATCATATTCCTAAACACAGGGGATGGATTTCCTCTCTGCCTCTCCCGCCCTGTGCAGGGGGATGAGCCAGGGCTTCACACAGCTACTCCGGCTTCTGGAGGGCCCAGGATGCACTTGCCTCTGGACCAGCTGCACGATGCTCTGTGTGTTCATGAAGAAGACCTCGCGCTCTGCCTTCCGCTGCAGCGTGGCGGCGTGGCAGTCCAGGATGGTGGCTATCTAGATAAGAACACAAAACAGGTCAGACCACTGCCCACCACAGGATCCAGCGGCCACTGGTTGTATCACGGGGGACCCCCACAGGCTCCCAGGGAGGTCCCAGCCTGGTTGTGCTCGAAGACCCCAGCCACCTGGATAACAGCCCTGCCCACCCCGTCAGTGTCTCCCTGGGGACCCAGGAGCTCAGAATGACAACATCACACAAAGAGATGAGTGAAGGAAATGTTTTCTCCCTGCCCTGCTGAGAGGACTCAGCAAAAGTGTGGGTGCAGGAGGGGGGAGGGTCCTGTCTTTATATGAAAATTCATGTGATTGGTATGTTCCCTTTAAAAATTGTTGTGGTGTGTGTACCTAGCATGTGTGGGGATTTTTGCACCACGGCGCACAAGGAGGTCGGGGGATACTGTGACGCTGGTTCTCATCTACCCTTATGTGGGTTCTGAGGATCTGATTCAGGGCACCATGCTTGTTTGGCAAGTGTCTCCACCTGCTGAGCCATCTCACGGGACCCCAAAAGGCATTTTAAATGAAAACTAAAACTAGAAATTGCCTTAATGAGAAATTTCAGAAGTGTCCCAAATGCACCCTTCTCTTCACGGGGCCTCATCAGTTCTGGTCAGGACAGAACTGGTTCCTCCTTCAGCTGTCACGTACAGGCTCAGTGGGAAAACTCAACTGTGCCGCCCTCCTCTCCTTGCCTCCTCCATCCCTCCCTTGAAGGCCACTAACTGAATTCCTTTCTACACTGACTGCCCATTCCAGACAATGTGTCTGACCGGCTCCTTTCCCTTAGCCTAAGGCTCATCCGTGTAGGAGCGCGAATCACAATGCCATCCCTCTTATATGGCTGAACAATATTCCGACCTTCAGGAGCTCGGGGTGTAGCTCAGTGGTAGAGTGCTTGCCTAGCATGCCTGAGGCCCAGCACTGCAAAAAACAAAACAAAAGTTTCAACCTTTAGAGCTGTTGCCCTTTGGGAATGGCCTGACTTGGCTTCTCCGACAGCAAAGGTGTGTGGGGATGACGGGTGAGGACAGCAGGAAGGAATGGTGAAGGCGGGAGAGAAAGTGACCTTGACTTGCTCATCAGCAGAAAATAAACTAGACAGCCCAGAAAAAGGATGGTGAGGTTTTATCTGAATGGGGTGTATATGCTGATGGTTTCTAGTCCCAAGGCACATGAGGCCTACAGCTATGGACTTCCAAAACCTGTGACCCAGGAACAAGATTCTGTAGCTAATGATTTGAGCTAGTCTGATTGGCAGCTGTGACACCCCCCCGCCCGACCCTGAGCCGCTGGAGTGAGGCCTGACCCTTGGGAGAATGTGCTGGAGTCCTACAGAAGTTAGAAAGAAAGCACGGGCCCACAACATTTGATGCTGGCCCATCTTAAAAGAAGCCAGATGAGGGAGTGAGCACAGGTGTGGCTGGCCGGAGCCGGCTGGGGCACGCACCTGCTGGCTGGGGAACTGGCACAACACTGAAGTGATGTTGCTGGCATACTGGGCCATCACCCTGCGGACGGCCTTCTCCACGGGTGCTGGGATGCGGCCTGCCACGCTGGTCATGATCTCCTGCAGCTCCAGGAGAGGTAGGGATGGGTGCCGGAGTGTCATCATGAGCTTTTGGACCCACTCCTTCAGCTGCAGAGGGACAATGACATCAGCCACCACCTTACAAACGTGTGGGCACCTCCATCAGCCAGGGGCACCCTACCCGACTCAACCCACCCAGGCCACACCTTCCAGTGCAGGAGCCCAGCAGCCTCTGGAGCAGTCTGGAATGGACTGCTCAAGTCTCCACACACAGAAGCCCCTGTGCCCCTCCCTGGGTCACTAGACAGCCAGTGTGGTACGGGAGAACAAATAAGGTCATATGACAAGCTAACGCTTGTGGGCACTTGACTGGTGCCAGGTAGAATCCAAAGCATGTTCTTCACCTGTATTCTCTTTTAGTTTATTTTTATTACTTTAAAGTTATGTTCATGTGTTTGTATCTGCATGTGGGGTGTGCACGTGAATGCTGTACCCTCAGCAGTCAGCAGAGGGCATTCGATCCCTGGAGCTGCAGTTACAGGCACTTATGAGCTGCCCCTCATGGGTCCTGGGAACCCACTGAGCTTGGTTCCTCTGGAAGAGCAATTAATACATGCTCTCAACCCCGGGGCCACTGAGCAACCTCTTCTCCCTCTTTAGCTATTTTTCATTTTTTTTAAGAGACAGCCACAGCAAGCAGGCAGAATGATTACCCCATTTACAGTGGAAATGAAAAGAGTCGCTTAAGTGACCCAAAGCGACTACGCAGACAGGAAACCCTCCGGGCTGAATACAGGGCCCTGTGCACACCAGGATCTTGCTGGTCCCCACCTTTGTGCTGAAGAACGGCTCGGGCAGGCAGTAGCCACTCATGACGTTGGTCAGATTTTCTAAGACGCTGTGGAACACCTGGTGCAGCTTCTCCCCGAGGATGGGCAGGGTCTGCTGGGCAGGCAGTGTCCCTGTGAATGGCTGTGCCTGGTGAGACATGAGGATGGGTCACAACAGACCAAAGAGCCCATGATGAGACACGAGGACATGGACAGACCATGGGGTCTCTGAGATACAAAGACGGGGTCACGACAGACCAAGGCAAAAGACTGACCCAAAAACCCCCTGACTTACTCATCTGAAGCCTGGGAAAGAACAAGAGACACATCATCCTGGGAACCTATCCTTACTAAGTTCAAGTTTGGGTCCAGGCTTTTCACAACATCCCCTTTGCGAATGGCACACATTTGACAACTTACATTCCGAACAATTTTAGAGGGGTCTATTTTTATTCTGATTTTCCTTTTGATAAAGATCATCTCCTGACTCTTCTTTTGGTTTTCTTCGTAGGTTCCTTCCCCGTTTGGTTTTGAAGCAGGGTCTCACCACATAGCACAGGTCAGCCTCGAACTCACATTTCTCATGCCTGAGCCTTCTGAGCGCTGGGATTGCACGCCTGTGCCACCATGTCTGACTTATTTAATGTGATTTAATTTTTTAAATTTATTCTGAATATAAGCTTTATTTTAGTTGTGTGTATGTGGGGCTGGGTGTGTGCATTTGCGTGCAGGTGCCCACGGAGGCCAGGAGCACCGGTTGTGAGCTGCCCAACATAAGTATTGGAAATCAAACCCAGGTCCTCTGCAAGAGCAGCAAGTGTTCTTAATCTCTGACTCATCTTTCCAGCTCCATTTTTTTTTATGTGGCCCTGGGATTTGAAACTAGGGCTTTGGACCATAATATGCACACACTCCCCCTGAGCTAGCTACTAAGTGAAACCAGCCAGTGACAAACTGGCAGGAACTGTGTGGTCCCTGCCATCCAAGCTAAAGCAGTCAGATCCCTGGGGAAAATGCAGGCTAGAGGTTGCCAGGGCCTGGGCAAGAAGGGAATAAAAAGTTGGTATCTAGTAGGCATAGTTTTAGTTTTATAAGAAAGAAAGGGTTCTGAGCAGTGGTGATGGGTGCTCAACAATGTAGGCTTGACACTCTGAACGGCCCATTTCAAAATGGCAGAGGCAGGGGTGGTGCGGGAGCTGGGTGGCAGATGATGCCTAGCATGCGGGAAGCCCTGTGTTCTGTCCCTAGTACGTGGACACACACAGAGGGGTGAGGATAGCAAGGTACACAGAATAACCACAATCTTAAAATCTGAGTAAAGTATGTATGTTAGTTAATAACACATCAGCAGTGGTCCATTGTGATTAGTGGAGCGTATGATCACAGTAGAAATTACATGAACAGTAATTAGTAGTAAATATCGCTGAATTAATAATAGGAAACTGGGTGCATAAAATATGAAAACTCTTTGTAGGATCTGTAATCCTGCAAATCTAAACCTGTATGAGATATAAAATCTGGTTTATGCTGGGCAGTGGTGGCACACACCTTTAATCCCAACACTCGGGAGGCAGAGGCAGGTGGATCTCTGTGAGTTTGAGGCCAGCCTGGTCTACAAGAGCTAGTTCCAGGACAGGCTCCAAAGCTACAGAGAAACCCTGTCTCAAAAAAAATCTGGTTTATACAGCAGACATTAAATGAACAAAATCATATTTTAAAGGTAGTCCCAGATAGCTCATGGAGCCAGGCATGATGGGATACACCTACAGTTTGGAATGCGGAGACAGAAAGACCTTAAATTCAAACTCAGACTGGGCTACATAGTGAGCCCAGGTCGGCCTGAGCTACAGGACCTTGTCAACATATATATTGTGAGATAGCTCAGCAGGTATGCGCTTGCCATGCAAGTAGGGGAGAACTGATCCCCCAAAATTGTCCTTTGACCTCTACTCCCACACAATGGCACAAAAGCACAAACTATTACTACTACTACTAATAATAACAGCAATTAATAAAAATCTTTTTTTTAAATCCAAGGGCTGAGGATGCAGCTCAATGCTGGAGAGCTTGTCAAGCAGGGAGGGTCAAGACTGTGGGGTCAACCCCAGCAATGAGAGAAAAAAGTCAGCTTCAAGGGCTTGGGTGAGAAGCCAGACTGATCAGGTTAGGGTGGGAGTGAGCTGAGGCACTCCTGGGGCGGATCCTTCTAGGTGAAGGGAACAGGCTCCAGGAGGGAGGCCTGTGTGGACTCCTGAAGATGCCAAGGATAGAAGGAAAGCCCTCAAGTCACTGGGAGCAGCTCTCTGGCACTTGGGTCCTGGGAAGAACCTGGGCTTTGCTCCAAGTGGGATGAAGAGCTGCAAAGGGATTGAAGAAGACAGGGGCATGGTTGGCAGGGGCTTCCAATTACATTATCACCAGGGCTGAGTGTGCCTACAAATGACAGACAGGCCCAGGAACAGAGAGACTCCAGTCTGCTCTCCCTCAACAGGTAGGAGCTTCTGGGCCAGCCAGAGCTGAAGGGACCACGTGTTACAAACCGCATGGCCCAGAGCTGCGGGGACCACGTGTTACAAACCGCATGGCCCAGAGCTGCGGGGACCACGTGTTACAAACCGCATGGCCCAGAGCTGCGGGACCACGTACGTGTTACATACCGCATGCACTTTTGAAGGGTCATCGAGTTCCAGCCTCGCCACCACACAGCCGGCCTCCAGTACGGCCCCTGGGCGCTTGACGTACCTCACCCTGCCGCTGTCCTGCACACTCAGGGTCATGATCATCTTCATCACCTGTTTTGTAGAAGGAAGACGAGGTCAGAGTTCCCTGGTGCTGGCACCCAGAGTCGCTCCTCCAGTGACTGGATCAGGGGGTGCGTCATGGTGATAGCCAATCTCTGGGCACCACTCAAGCACAGGACAAAAATCCCGTCATTTCTTCCACCTTGCTGTGCACCAGGCATGAGCGCCATCCAGGAATGGTCTCCATCTACAAGGGCAGCCAGAGGCGGGTGTGTGTGCCGCCCATTTCACAGCAGGAAACTGCTTCCTTTAGATTTGTGAAGCTAGCGATGATACCCAGGGCTTCATGCATGCTGGACAAACACCCTGCTGCTGAACTGCACCTCCAGGCCCCCTTAACTATTTTCAAAAGAAACCCTCTCTACCAGAAACACTGCTAAGTCCTATTACCTCCAGCCGTCAGTACAGAGTCAAGCGCACCATAGTGACACTGTTGGCCAATGACAGTACCATAGATGATGGCTGTGCCACAAGACACATACATGTCCAAACTGTGGTGACGCAAGTGAATGAGCTGCCACATGACCTGTCTGGTAAAGTGTGGCACTCACACTTAATGCTGAGACACTCACTGTTGGCGGCCGCAGCCCCTGGCAAGCGTCTCATGCTTAGAGGTCATGTCAATGCTTCAAGTGACTAAATGACGCCTTCCAGGTTTGTTCAAATACACTCTACAATGTCCACATGATAAAGTTGTCCAGGAACACACTTCTCAGAACACAACCCGTTGCTGAACACCACCGGGCTCTCGGCCTCCCTCTACACGGACAGCTGTCTAAAGCAGGCATTTAACGTCAGGCCCATGGGGGAGGGCGCCCTCTGGAGAGCGCTCTGTAAAATGAACCCTGCAACTCACTTGCCTAACCCTGTGTCTGAAGGTGCAGAAGACATGAGATTTGTGACCACGACACCACTGCAGGTCACGGTACCATGCTGCTTTTTGCTCGGTTGTCTGCCTCATCCACCACCCCTGTGAATTCCAAAACTCACCTTCCTGTCTCTGAGCCTTGATGTCTCCATCAGAAAACTGGGAGCTAGTCCCCTGAGAATAACCGAGACAGATAAGCCAGCCTGTGCAGGAGGGCGGCTCTCCTGAAGAGCCACTTGCCTCTCTCACAGCAGAGAGCGGAGGCCAGGCTTGCAGCGAGGCTCTGTGTGCTCTCAAGAGACATCCTGAGCTCACCTTCCTGGGTCTGATCTCTGCATGCACACAACAGGAATCACGTCTGTTCCCGCCTCATGAACTTGTTCAGGTTATAAAAGTAGACACAGTTGGGGTGTAACTGAGAGGTAGAATGCTTGCCTAGCATGCTTTAGGTCTTAGGGTCCATCCTCAGCACAGTAAAAAAAAATAATAATACAAATAGGTAAAGGCACTTAGATCAATATCCACTGGATGGCCAGTGCCCGGTCAGCTCTGGCTTGTGGTTTTAATCATTGTCACCACCATTACTAGGCAGTTCTTACTCCTTCCACGAGATGTGGGCCAAATGAGCGCTCTTTTTAAAAAGTATTCTTTGAATTTCATAAGTTTAGGCCAAGGACAGGCGAGGCCTGGTGGCTGAGGGGCAGGGACAGCCCCAGCCGGGGCTGGCTCTCTGGTCACCTCCATCTCAGCGTAGCTGCTCCCTGCTTCGACGTGGTCTCCATCCTCCACTGTGTACTGTGTCAGCTTCCCAGCCGAGGGGCATCTCAGGACTGTGGGGTCGTTCTCCTTTTCAAACACACACGTCTTATTGCCGATAGTGATCCGGTAACTAGAGGGCGGGGAGAGTGGGAGACAAATGAGGCCCAGCAAGGGAGCCAGACTTAGGGGAATTTCCCCTTTCCTAGGGCAGGTACTCCATCGCCCTCTGTGAGGCATGAGGGTCTTTACTTCTAGTGGCTGAAACCAGTTTCTGTTTCTGACATAATTCCCCAGAAATCAATCAATCAATACTATTCAATAACTCTTAACCAATCCTAAATCCTTCCTTTAACTATCTAGGGAAGTCAGGTTTTAGGCATCGCACACAAGAATCTTGAATGTTCTGGGGACTAAGAAAGGAGTCCCCTCACCGACCTGACTTCCAGGAATGGACTCTAACCCATGCACACATTCCACACTTTCTTATCCATGGCCTGGGTCTGAGTGGCCTCCTCTGCCTGGGTCCTCCACGTAGCACTGTGACCTCAGCATGGTCAGGCAAACGGGAGCCAGAAGCATATGGACCCAGTGTGCACCATGCCTAAAGCTTCTAGCATCCTTCCTCCCATCAGGACACAGAGCCACTGCCTGCCACTGTCTGTTCTCTGTGTCATCTCCTGTCAGAGGCTGGAAGCCCAGGAGTGATGACATCAGTGGCACCAGCCTCATCCCGAGCTGAGCACCCTGCCCACAGTAGCCTGGCGGCCAACTGCTGGATGGTGTATCTAGTCTACGCTGTCCCCTGGGCTGTGGGCCTATAGCTCAGACCCAGGGAGACGGCGCCTCCTCACTTACCCAACAGTCACTGGAGCTGCTTGTTACGATCTGTTTGACCCTGAATCCTCTGGTGACGAAATGGGAACTGCCCAAGAACCCCCACTCTCAAACCCTGTTAGGTTCCAGCCGGGATGGAGACTCTCTCTGAATGCCCAGAATGAACGAAAGCAGGCTTTCTCTATAACCTCAGGCCTGCAGCGCCAGCTCTGCATTTCAGCTCCCACAGAGAAAGCTGCACATCTTCCACGCACAAACCTGTCCACCTCTTCCTTCATGTACGTGGTGTAACTGCTGCCGTTGTAGGACAGGAGCAGCCCCCCGTCGTTCAGCCGGTGGGCATCAATCTCGATGTGGCAGTCGTTCATGATGAGAACGAAGACAGTCAGGGACTGCCGGGCCACCTGTGGGGACATCAGAACCCCCATTGCTCCCGCCTGCAGGGACTGAGGCTTGGGCTCTGGGGAGGCAGCTTGGAGGCTTCAGCAGGAATGAGTGCACTAACTGTATTGCCTCCCAAAGTCCTGTGATGAAACCAAGCCTCAAAGGAGATCTTAGGAGGAAGGGGGACCCCTGGTTTAAGTACATACGTCATGAGGGCGGGGCCTTCTTAGCACCCTTTTATAAAAGGGATCTGGGGTCATGAGATGACTCGGGAGGTAAAGGTGCTTGCCATCAAGCTTGACAAGTTAAGCTTGATGTCTGGGATCCACATGGTGGAAAGAGAATCAACTCCTAAAAACTACCTTTGACCTACACACACACACACATACATACACACACCACACACACACACACACACATATATATACACACACACACACATTCTCACACACATACACACACTCACATACACACACAGACTGTTGTACTCTCATACACAAATATACACACACTCATACACACATACACACACTCACATTCACACTCACACATATAGACACACACATACACACACTCATATATACACACACAGAGACTGTTGCACTCTCATATACACACTCACACATACACACTTACACACATATACACACTATTGTACTCTCATACACACATATGTACACACACGAAAGAATAAACAAACAAATTCAATTTAAAAATTATTAAAGGAACTCCAAAGAGCTCCCTTGCCCTCTTCTACCACATAAAGGCACACAGCAAAAGAAGGAACCCACTAGAAACCAGGAAATGGGTCCTCAGGAGATACAGAACTGGCTTGTGCCTTGACCCTGGATGTCCTGGGCTCCAGAGCTGGGAGCAATGTCTTCTGTTGTTCACAAGCCCTTGATCTATAGATTCTGCTATAGAAACCTGAATGGACAAAGACACCTGAATACAGACTATGGCTTACCAGAGATCTAGGACCCTGGAGGGAGGTGTGCACAGTGAGCTCTGGCCCAGACTCTATACGTCTGTTACAAAGAACTAACAGCCTGAACCTGGCCCTTATCCATCGTACCTTCACAACATGCATGCTCGGGTTATATTACACACAGACAAATATTTTGGGATAAAAGATAGTGAGAAATACATTTCAGTGTCTTTGGGTATCACTCGGCCTTCCTCTCCTCAACTCAGAGTGGAGTCAAGGTCACTGACTGCAGAGAACCCTGAGGGACACACGGCTCAGCCCCCCACGGGAAGACCCCACTCCAGGCTCACAGACATCACAGAGAACCCTGAGGGACACACGGCTCAGCACCCCACGTGAAGACCCCACTCCAGGCTCACAGACATCAGTGCGAACTGCTGAGCCTGCAGAGAAGGTGCCCTTACCTTGAGAATGTACTTAATGCCTCCGTAAATCAACTCAACATCCACAATGTTCAGCAGAGAATCAGCCGGGAGGACCTGACCCCTGGAGAAGACAGATATGGCATCAGTCCAGGAGGGAATGGGGTTCCCTAGAGCACCTCTTGGGCTCTGCGACATCCTTCAAGGCCCCCAGAAGGCTGGAGTGAAACTCAGTGGCAGAACGGGCGCCCCTATGTGTGAAGCCCTGGGCCCCACCCCAGCATCATCAAGCAGTCAGTCATCTGGATGTTTACCCATCATAGGCAGCAGCAAACCAGACAGTTAAGACTGATCAAAGGTGTGGGACACGGATCCCAGAGGAACTGGCACCCACTGAGGAATGGGGCATCTTAAAATGGTTTTGAAACCTTAATGATGGGCTCTTCTAGGAGAAAGCCCCACATGGAAGTCAGGTGTGGCGGCAGGTGCCTATTAACCTGGCACTGGAGAGGGTTAGGCAGGAGAATAAGCTAGCCTGGGATACACAAACAGTTTCACAGAAATATAAACGGGGGAAGAAGGGGGAGCTGCCACCCTCTAGCATGTGGACTGTGAATACACTGTCACTCAGAGGCGGTGTGCAAGCACTGTTTATTCTTTTACACTTTTTGTGGGCATGTCATTCTTTGTCATGGTACTTCTCAAGAGCGGGCGCTTCCTTCCTATTGTGGGACACTCAGGGAATGGGCCTCCCTTGGCCTCTAGCAGACAGGAGTCACAGTTCCACTGTCACCCTACAGCACACAGGACAGCCCCCCCAAATGATAATCCAGGTGGAAGTTGCCCTGCAGGCTTCACGGCACCCTACGGCCCCTCCACACCCACAAACCTGTGTGCATTCACCCCCGGTCTCTTCCAGGCAGTACAGGTTTATCCACGGAGTGTTGAAGGTAAGCCCAGAGGAGAGGCACCTGGCTCCCCGGTGAGTCACCCATAAAGCACTTGAGGGTGGCATGCTGGCATGTAAGTATGACCCCAGTGCTCAGGAGGCTGAGGCAGGAGAATCCAACTCTGATGCCAGCATGGCCTACTTAATAAGATTCTATCTCCAAGCACAACAAAAAGCCCATCCTGCCTTTCACGGGAGGGGAACGAGAGAACTGTCTGCCCTACCTTTCCAGGGAGTGCAAGAAATCCGTCATGCAGGTTCTGAACATCGCGTCCGCCACGTTTAAGGCCCCACACACCACCCCGAGCATGATGTCTGGCTTCTCTGCCTAGGAAAGACTCCAATGTCTCGGTTCCCGCGGGAAGCATGGGTCTCCGCCACCCCTAAGAAGGCAAAGCAGCTTCCTACCTGCACCCGCTCAGCGATGAGATGGTCCAGCCACCCCGTGTCGATATCATTGTTCTGGAAGCTCTCGGTCTCCAGAAGGTTCACCAGATATTCCACAGTGGTCCGGAAGTCACCCCGAATGGACAGCTCCTTTAAAGCCACTACCATGTTGCTGGAGAGGAGAAACACACACATGGTTGGTTTCCACACTTGCCCATGGTTCCTGGGGATGTCTGGGATGTGTTTGTCGCAGCGTCTGGACGGGACGACCACACTCTCGGTCTCCACTCCACATGGGCTGAGTAATCTCACTTGGGTAACTTAACCACCCCGGGTGTCAGTTACCTCATCTGAAAAATGGGGTGATAACCCTGCCACCTGCAGTATGAGGTTTGCAGTTCCGGTCACATGTCAGCTGCTGTGTGATTAGGCCCCAGGGTCCAATCACTAACTGTCCTGATACATAATGATATATAATACCCATGAAGAGGGCTCGGTCCCTCTGGCTCTGGCTCCCCTTGGCCTATTCAAACCTCCTGTCCTCAGAAGAGCCACTTCTGACTGTCCCTGGCTGCTCTGTCCAGGTGTGTCTGTTGCCGCTGGCTCAGCAGCATGGCAAGCTGCAAGGCTGCAGGCCCGCTGTGAATGTTTCTGAGGACAGGCAGTAGGATGAGCATATTCTCAGAGAGAAGGTTCCAGCCAGTGAGTGTCCCCACGAGCCATGAGTAGCTATGGCGGAAAAGCAATACGATCTAGGTTTTAGCCATGAGGAAATAAAGACACAGTGAGGTCAAAAGGAAGAGGTCCACAGGCCACAGGTGCAGTGTCAGGGCCTGGGTTTGTATGTGACCAACTCGTCCCAGGTGGCTTGACTTTTGCACTGCCATGGGAGAGCCAATCACAGAATCCGAGACAAGCGCTTCCCTCTGCTAGACTCTAACAGCAGGGAAAGCTGGAGTTTCCCTCCCAAGTCCCTGACAGCTGCAGACAGCGCCTCAGTTAGAGATTCCCCTGGGGGCTTTTCACTTGGAGCGTGCTGGGCCCAGCTCCTCCAGTTCACTACCTCTGGTTTGCTGCGAATCTCCCTCTACACTCTCCAAAGGCCTCAGTTTGCCACAGAACATGATTAAAACAAACCAGTCTAAGATGACAGAGGAGGGCCACCACCAAAACCGCCACACTGAGCTACACTCGCAGCTAAACAACCAAGCCAGTCAAACGCCTTCTCTTTAATGTGCACTGGTGTTTGCCTGCATGTCGGTGAGGGTGTCGGGTCCCCTGGAACTGGAGTTACAGACAGCCATGAGCTGCCATGTGGGTGCTGGGAATTGAACCTGGGTCCTCTAGAAAAGCAGCCAGTGCTCTTGACCACTGAACCATCTCTCCAACCCCTGGTCTAATATTTCTTAAATGAAACATCCCTGAAGGCAGAAGAAGTACCTAGCTGCACCGGGACGTTTAATAACAACACAAACCGATTTTACCTTCCTCGGCCCCTGTCAAGGCAGGGAGATTTAAAAGGAGAGGCAGAGGAGTCTTTGGTTAGCGTGAGTTTCTCGGTCTGAGGAAACCACTGTGGTGGGATTTGACTAAACAGGGAGCACAAGACACTGTCACAGGCTTGGGGTGGAGACAGAGCAGCAGGCCGCCCCCAGAAGAAACGAGTCTCAGAGTGAAGACAGAACTATTTGTGAGGTTGACATTTTAAGGTGCGGCCGTCCTCCTCTGAGCCTAGTACTAGGCACCCTTAGACACCTTTGAATAGTTTTGTGTGTCCTTGAAGTCAGACCTCTTGCAGGCTCAAGACCCAGCAGCCTTGGAGAGCTCTCTGCTCTTCTCCAAACTCCAGCAAAGAGACTTTGTTCTTGAACTTCAGCTGCCTTGTGAGATCTAGGGTCAAACTCGGGTGATCACACCTGTACACACTACTTCGGAGTGTTTGCTTCTAAAGAGAAGGAGGCAGGGATGGAGGGGGAGGGAACAGGCGGGAAGGGGGCAGGAAGGAAGAGTGGTAAGCAGGAAATACTGACGAAATGGCCTCTTCACGGTTCTCGCCCCAGGAGAAGCAGTGCCCAAACTGGGAATCGGCAAACTCATGCAAGCCTCCGGCAGCCGCCACACTGAAGTAGCCCCACACATTCTTGTTGCTGCGGAAGTTCAGCTCCTGGACTGTCCCGGAGCTTGGCTTAAAACCCTGGCGCCAGACAGAAAAGAAGAGATGTTACTCCAAGTGGACTCCGCAAGGCAGAAGGGACAGCACTGCCTTTCCCAAGCTGCCCTGTGCCCTCCACATGCTCACTGTGGTTCCCACGCATACAGACAATAAATAAATATTAAAATGATTTTTTTAAAGTGAAGATGTGGTGCTGTGGCTGTGGCCAAATGCCCCACCCTGCTGTTTACCACAGCTGGTGTTTGGTTTGAAGCCAAAGATTCAACCAAGAAAAATGGGGGCTCACCCCAAGTTCCTCCAACACAGTATGATTTAAACATTGCACAGTGATGTCATCTACATAAACAGAATTTCACAGGATGCCCACTAGTGGGCCCAGTTAAAAACACCTTTGAAGCTGGGCATAGCGGCACATTCTTCAATCCCAACACTCAGGAGGCAGAATCAGGCAGACCTCTTTGAGTTTGAGGCCAGCCTGGGCCACATAGTGAGTTCCAGGACAGCCATGGTTGTTATAGAAAAAACCCTGTCTCAAACAAAAACACAAAATCTTTGATTAAAAGATAAAGTAAGGGTCAGGCAGTGGTGGCGCACACACCTTTAATCCCAACACTCAGGAGGCAGAGGCAGGCGGATCTCTGTGAGTTTGAGGCCAGCCTGGTCTACAAGAGCAAGTTCCAGAATAGGCTCCAAAGCTACAGAGAAACCTTGTCTCCATAAAAACAAAACAAAACAAAAAAAAAAAAGAAAGAAAAAAAAGCAGACTGGGGAGTCCTAGAACAAGTGAGCAGCAGACAAGTAGAATGATGCCAGTCAGTTTTGCTTTCAAGACCCAGTAAGAACAAGCCACAGGGGACTGCCCAGGGCTCCTAAGAGACTGGACCAAAGCAAAAAGCACAGAGCCAGAAATCTAAGAACCTGGGCTCCAAACTGGCTGCCTCACCAAGGAAGAAAAGCACATGGTGAGTCAGGAGTGGGTGGGCTTAGCTGACCCCACAGGCTGCACCATGACCGCCAGCACTGAGGTCATGTGGGTGAGGAGCTGTGTGAGGTTTTCCTGAAACCTGGCACATACCATGCATCCAGCAAGCCCAAAGCCAGGACACGCAGCTCCCACACTGTTTCCGGTGTATAACTGGGAAGCCTGGGTGCTGGTGTCACCTCCAAGGGGCCCACCCTTCCCCAGCAGTCTGCAGATGATGTGGGAGTCCCCTCTGTGTGCTATGATTACCATCAGTGAATAAAGAAACTGCTTTGAACCTCTAGCAAGGCAGAACTTAGGTAGGCAGGGAAAGCTAGGCTGAATGCTGGAAGGAAGGAGAAATAGAAATTATGACATCAGTTACTCAAGGAGTTACAGTAATTCCTCAGGAGGATTGTATTGCCCAATTGGTCTTGGTACACCTAGTTAACACCTCCAACCCCACGGCCAGGTCCAGTCGGGGTGTTAAGGGTTTTGGATCATCTGGCACTGCAGCCTTTTGGGTAGCTCATGTGAAAGAAAGGCCCCTATTGGAATTGATTATCGATGGGAAGTCATTTAATGGGATTTTAGACTCTGGAGCTGACGTCTCCATCCTGTCCTTAGAATTCTAGCCTAAGAAGTGGAAAGAAGTACTGCCACCCTACAAGGAATAGGTCAAGCAAGTCCCAAGAAGAGTGCAAAACAGATCAAGTGGGGGTGCAAAGGCCTGTCCTCTAGGAACCCAACAATGACTTCCAAATTTGAGTCTAAGGATATGTTGCTTTGGAAAAGAGGTTCTTCTCTTGTTTCCACAGAGGATGAGAACCTGTGGAATAAGGCGGATTGCTTCCAGACTGGTGTGGTTTGATGGAATAAGATCCCCTGAAAGGTCACCATGAACACCCTCAAAAACTTACTTTGCCCAACTGCTGACTGAGATGAATCTAGCACACAGGATACACCATATAAGACCTGGTTAACAGTGCCCTCAATCAGCAGGAAGCAGTATGGACAAAACCATACACATATTCCCAAATGTTGTCTATGAATGTTCGTTTACATTTAAAGGGGGATATGCTATAGAGATTTGCATTGGTGTAGATCTTGGTTTATTGATACAAGTTTTAGGTCAATTTTGTTAATATGTAAATTTCTGCTCTTAATTAAGGTATTGTATTTGTTCAGCTCATTTAAAAATGTAATGTTTAATTAAGAAATATAGGTAAATAGTCATCTATAATAGTCAAGCTTATAGTCATGTTCATTAGAGTCTCTAGACATACAGAGATGTATTTCAGATAGGTAGGTATTCTTCAAACCTTTCAAAGACTACAGAATATGGCATTTAAAATGTTTTAATAATTTAGGACTTTTCATGACAATGAGACACGTCTGCTCCTGGCAGCATGAATTACTTCGAGAGGAAGATGGGCATCAAAGAGGCTCCTTGCCATTTGGGCAAGAAACTGCTCTTGCCTGGACTGCTTAACTGGACATGTAGGACCCACAGAGAAATGACTGCTGAACTTGCCTAAAGGTGAGATGATCCTTCAGGGTTCCTGCTTCATGAAAAAGTCTGTTAGACATTCTGCAGGACACAGAAAAATGTGATGAATAAACTGCCTTTATAGGTGGAACTGTCTTTGAAATTTCCTGCTTCGTGGAAAAGTCTGCTGGATACTATGGGCCTGTAGACTGAAGATGGTTGCCACAATGATACAGAAGAACTTTGGGTGACTGTTCAGGCAGCGAGATGTCTCCGTCAATTCTAGAGTTTTGGAAGTTGCTTACAATGTACTTCCTGTTTACTTAGGTAATGTTATATCCTTCTGGAGTCTTTAATGGAGTTGAAGAATTTATAGTTATAATGACAGTCTTCCTTAGTTATAATAAAAGATAAAGTAGATATAAATGTTGTAACTGTAATTATTACTTGATACCTGTTTTGTTACATGTAATTTTACTATATTAAAGTTAAAACCTTCCTTTTTTATTTAAACAAAAATGAGGAGGTGATGTGGGACTTTCCTCTCTGTGCTGTGATTACCCTTAATGAATAAAGAAACTGCTTTGGACCTACAGCAAGGCAGAACTTAGGTAGGCAGGGAAGATGGAACTGAATTCTGAGAGAAAGGAGGTGGAGTCAGAAAGAAGCCATGGAGCCACGGAGATAGACACTGGGAACTTTAGCCATGTAGTGATACACAGATTAATAGAAATGGGTTAAATTAATATATAAGAGTTAGCCAATAAAGTAATAAGAAGCTAGAGCTAATGGACCAAACAGTGATTTAATCAACACAGTTTCTATGTGATTATTTCGGGTCTAAGACAGCCAGGTGATCGGGAACCAGCAAGTGGCCCTTCTTACAACATGCAGCTGATGGAAGCACAGGGTCCCACCCTTCCCTGGGAGTCTGCAGTGATGGAAACACAGGGGCCCACCCTTCCCTAGGAGTCTGCAGTGATGAAACACAGGGGCCCACCCTTCCCTGGGAATCTGCAGTGATGAAACACAGGGGCCCACCCTTCCCTGGGAATCTGCAGTGATGGAAACACTAGGGTCCCACACTTGCCTCATCCGGGTTTTCACTGGTGATCCTGGCTGCAATGACATGACCTCGGGCAATGGGAGGGCTCGGAGGGCTCTCAAAAGAAATGGGGGTCACTCCCCAGGGAGATTCTCCATACAGAAGCCGTATGTCCTTCAGCCGGTGCAGGGGCACACCCATGGCGATCTAAATGGAAAAAAAAAAACATTCCACAGGTCAGTCTGCTAGGACCCTGGTCCTAAAACAAGGAGGGCAAAGGGGATGGGATGAAGGAAGAGGCTCCGTCAACGATTTGATATACACCTGTGAGAATGTTTGTGTTCTAATAAATAAGTTTGCCTGGAAATCAGAGTGTGGAGCTAGGACCTAGTTAACCATAGAGGCCAGGTAGTGGTGGTGCACACCTTTGATCCAAGTACTTGGGATCACATGCCTTAATTCCCAACACTAGGAAAGTGGAGACAGGAAGGCCTGGGCACTGTGCACACTGCACTCCAGGAAGGCCTGGCTACTGTTCACACTGGACTACAGGAAGGTCTGGCTACTGTTCACACTGGACTACAGGAAGGCCTGGCTACTGTTCACACTGGACTACAGGAAGGCCTGGCTACTGTTCACACTGGACTACAGGACGGCCTAGGCTACTGATCACACTGAAGCAGGCTAGTGTTCACACTGCTCCCTGGGGTGGGAACAGCTGTTTCAGCTGGGAGAGATGTTCTTCCCAGGATACTCTTAGCCAAACGTTCTTACAGACTGTTTGGGCCCTAGGCTTCCCCAGGGTGCCCTCGTGACGGCCCACATGTCGGATCTAACGCTCTCCCGTGGTCCTGCTGTCAGGGTTTATCCTCCTCCCGTCTGCTGTATACTTAAGAAACCCCTTCAAAGCCCAAAATGTGACTTGTGCATCACTCTTCCTATGAAACAGTGTGACTCTAGGCAGGTAGAAAAAGCAGAGCTGGGGAGCACCGCCCAGGGCTTGGAGCCCCATCCTCAGGTCCATACTTGCAACTGCGCAGCGGGCAGGTTCACATCTGCAATCATTTCAGTGCACGGATGTTCCACCTGCAAGCGCGGGTTTAGCTCCAAGAAGTGGAAGCTGCCGTCCTGGCTGTACAGGTATTCCACCGTCCCGGCACTGACGTAGCCCACAGTCTTGGCCAGGAGGACAGCACACTGCAGAGACAGACGGAAGTCAAGGGCTTCCGACGGCAGCACCATGCCCTCCCCAGTGCACCCTGAGGAGCTGCCACACAGGAGCCCCCCCCCCCCGTGACCAGTGAGCAACACACCTGTGCGATACTGAAATCACCCCCACCCCAGGCTGGGCTCTCTGCCACATCCACACTTTCCAGCTACCACGACTACAGCCAGTTTCTGCTGAGCGGCCCCAAGCCCAGCTCTGCCAGAGGCACCTGTTCCATGAACTCAAACACCGCTGGAGCAGCTATGGTGGCTGGCGCCTCCTCGATAATCTTCTGGTGCCTCCTTTGGATGGAGCAGTCACGTCCAAACAGTGACACAGCATTTCCGTACTGATCCGCTAAGACCTGCACCTCCAGGTGCCGTGCGTTCTGGGCCAGCTTCATGAGAAAGATAGGCGAGCCCGGGATCTCACTCTGCACCTGTGGGGAAGCGCAGGCGATGGCTGATTCCCAATAGTCCAGCTCTGGACATTTCTGGAAGTTCTCAGAAGGGACCATTAATAGTAATGGTATGGGTAAGGGCTCTTCCCGGCCTCTACTCATTTCTGACTTTCATTTTTCCTCCAACAGACACACTTTCTCGTTGTTTTTAAGTCAAACGCTGTTAAAAGGGTAACATTTCCCCAACAATCCTACATCCTAAGGAAGACACACTAAGTGGGACATGATGGTTTGTGCCTGTAATCTCAGCACCCAAGAGGATGAAACATTAAGACTATCAAAAGTTTAGGACTAGCCTGGGCTACATGTGAAATTCAAGACTAGCTGGCCTCAGCTACACAGAAATTTCAAGGCAAGGCTAGGTTACACAGCAAAACACACAACAAAAATAACAAAAATCCATTCACTGAGTTCAGTTTTCTCGGGGGGCGAGTAGCAGGCAGCATGGTGTAGGTAATTAACGTATTGTACACTTGAAATTCACTCAAAGAAGTCTCGGCCATTCTTCCCAAACACACACGAGCGTGGAGGTGCTGGGTCCTTTAGCTAACTTGACAGCCAGAACCACTCCAGCGAATATGCACGGGACCAAACACCACACGCACAGTTTGAACCTATGCGGCCCTTGAGGGCTGGGAGCAGGGCTGCAAGCTGCTTCTCTTCTGCCCACGCAATGACACGCAGAACACTTCTTCAGACAAACACCCCACACCACCTCTGGGCTGTGCGAAACCTGGGTGCAGAGCAGATGGGAGCCACCCCCCACTGCTGCTCCAGGTTTCTAGAAGTTCTTCCTGACGCTGCTCACCCAGCAGACACAACAAGGCCGTGAGAGCATGACCACAGGGAACCCTTCTAGCAAGTTCTCCAAGTGTTTTTGTCAGGGCATGTGAAGTGTACCGGCTTTACGGAGTCCCTCTCCAGCGGGCTTTGGTGGCTGTTTGAGACGGTCTCACTGTAGCTCAGTCTAGCCTTGGACTCACTGTGAAGACCAGACTAGACCTGCATCTGTCTCTGCCTCCTCACTGAAGGTCTGCACCGCCACACTGGCTCCACTTAACAGTTCACAGGAAGAAATGCAAGGTACTGTTTATATCAAATGCCATCTATGGTGTGTGTGTGTGTGTGAGAGAGAGATAGAGAGTGTGTATGTGAGTGTGTATGGGTGTGGGTGACTGTGTGTGAGTGTGTGTATGTGAGTGTGTATGGGTGTGGGTGACTATGGGTGGGTGAGTGTGTATGGGTGTGGGTGACTGTGTGTGTGAGTGTGTGTATGTGAGTGTGTATGGGTGACTGTGGGTGGGTGAGTATGTATGTGAGTGTGTGTATGAGTGTGGGTGACTGTGGGTGGGTGAGTGTGTATATGAGTGTGGGGAATGTGTGGGCGTGGGTGTGTATGAGTGTGGGGAATGTGTGGGCGTGGGTGTGTGTGAGTGGGTGTGTATGAGTGTGAGAATGTGTGGGTAGGTGAGTGTGTATGGTGAATGTGTGTATATGACTGTAGGTGACTGTAGGTGGGTGAGTGTGTGATGGGTGGAGGTGGATGAGTGTGGGAATGTGTGGGTGGGTGTATGAGTGGGTAGGGCTGGGGGTGGAGCCAGGAGTCTTGCGCTTGCTAGGCAAATGCTCTACCGTGAGTGATCCTCTGTGATGCTTGCTATGTCAGAATGTGGTTTTCCTCCCAGGCTAACACTGGAGTTAATCCCCACATGCGGGAATGAAAAGGTAGAAAGGAAATCTGATACATTTGTGGTGTCTGGAGGTCAGGCCTTTTGGGGGGTGACTAGAAGTGTGTACGGTCACTAAACTAAAGCCGACAGTCGAGTCCTGGTGACTTTGTAAGAGAGTCCAGAAGACACACACACCACATATGCCACACATGCTCACGTGGTGCCTGAGCCGCCCTGGTACTCTGCCAACAAGAAGGGTGTTGTTGCAAGGTATGGTGGTACACGCCTTTAGCCCCAGCACTAGGGAGGCAGAGGCAGGCAAATCTCTGTTTGAGGCCAGCCTGGTCTGCATAGTGAGACCTTGTCTATATGTTGGGGGAGCCTTGTTAATCAATTATCTTTAAGAGATGGGACCAAGTTAGGGTGTGGCTTTCTGGGACCTGGAGAAAAATGGGCTCACGGCCCAGGTGCTCTCTCTGTGATTCCCTCACCGCACAGCTGAGCTTGGACTTCTCGTTCTGGTTTTGTGAGTTTTTCCCTTATAACAAATAAAAATAGAATTGTTTTTCTTCTAGCTAGCGGGTTTTTTTCCCAAATTGAGTTAGCTTCTACATCTGTAAAAAGGAAGAGGACCGTTGTCAGACACAAGTCCTCCATCTGGGACCAAAGCTACGAGCTGAAACCGACCTCTTTTCTCCACAGTCCTGCTCTGTGATGCCAAAAGCAGACAAGGGCGTGGTCTAGCGGCGCTGGGACAGTGCTACAGCGAAAGAGCATCAGACGTGATCGTGAGCGTGGAAACAAGCTACACACATGGCGGAAAGAAAGGCTTTCATAAGAAGGCTGCAGCCAAATGTGGAATAATGCACGGTCATCAAAATAATCATGAAGACTGAACACTGTTGTTCAAAACGAAACAAAAACCTCATGATTCTTTTGATGCAAAGAATGAGTACACTTCTCTAAAATATACATGAAGTCTAGAGAAAAATCTAGACGTTTTAGGGAAGGTTTACAGACAAGGCGACGAGGTGGGCTCATGCCAGTAATCCTAGCGTTTGTGAGGAGGAAGCAGGAGAAGCAGAAGAACTGGTATGGAATGGATGATTAAAAGAAATCCCACACTAGCTCGGAATTGAGAAATAGATGCTTATTTATTTAGGGATAAACTCACAAATCAGAAGAGGCCACACCCCAGCAGCTGTAAGACTTCCTACAGCATAAAGAACTGAGGCTGGACTGGAGAGCTGGCACCGTGGTTAAGGCTCCACGGTTAGGAGATGGCCCAGTTGTGCCTGCAGAAGACTCTGGTTTGAGTCCCACCACTTACTTATACACCAACTCCAGTTCTAGGACATCTGACGCCCTCTTCTGGCCTTTTGTGGGCATGGCATGCATGTGGTACACATACATGTGGGCAAAACACCCATACTCAGAAAATTAAAAACAAATGAGATGGGGGCTTAGAGAGCTGAGGTTATCGTAAGCAACATAAAACCCTACCATAAAAGTGGGGGTGGGGATGCGAAGCCAAAGCTTGAAATAAGGCTCACTGGCAGAGTGCTCCCTAGCATGCACAAACCCTGGGTTGAGTCTCCTGCATCCCTCACCCCCAAAGAAGGATGATCAGTACACTAAAACACACACGCATGCACACACTTTGCTACATGCCTGTAGCCTGGGAGTATAAGGCTTGAATGTACCACGATGAAAGGCGGGAGGAACAGAGCGAAGCTAGCTACGAACGCAGAAGCCACGCCCACACGGAAACGGACTATCCAGACACTGAACGCCATAAACCCCAAACTGTAAGATTTATAAAATACCCCGTGCAGACAGGTGACAATTTCAGAGACACCCTAAGCCAAGACTCTGCCCATCGGAAGAAATGCCGGAAAGGCCAGCAGGCGCCGTGGGCTTCTGAGTGACGATGTACACATCTGCTTCGAACACAAGGTGGGTGTGGGGCTCAGTGGCAGAGAGCTTTCCTAGACAGGATGAGCCCTTGGGTTCCCACCCCAGGGGTGGGGAGTGAGCACGTGCCCTGGGGAGATAGCTCAGTGGCATGGAGAACTGGCGTGTGTCTGTAATCCCAGCACCCTACAGAGACAGAAGCTGCTGAGAGGAATGCCCTGGAAGGAATGCCATGGGCCAACTAGCCTAGCCTGTGCAGCAGCAAAAACAGTAAGAGAACCTGTCTCAAATGTGGAGAACTGACAGCTGGGGGTGTCCTCTAACCTTCCTCAACCCTGACACTCACATGCTCACACACATACATACACACACACATGCACACACCCCACTGAAAACAAACTAAACAAACAACAACAGAAACAAACTCTCTAGACCCGGCTCCTGCAACATCATCTCGACTTAAGAAGGCACTGCTGATCGAAACAGTCAGCCGACAACCAGGGACTGAGGCCGAGGCAGGGAAGGCACAGGCAAGGGCACGCACCTGTCTGAAGAGCATGGGGAAGTCCTCTGCTCGCTCAGCCTTGCGGATGCCCTTCCCTCCGCCGCCTTCGGAGGCTTTGATCATCAGTGGAAATCCAACCTTTTCGGCTGCCTGAAGGAAAGGACAAACAGGCCGTTTAAGGAGGGACAAGTCCAACACCAGGAGGTAGAGAGGGTTGTGCCATGCTGGCTGCAGTCACCGCGCTGGCGGTGCCCACTCTGCAGCTACCTCCAAGCCTTCATCCACATCCTTCACACAGCCTCGCTCATAGACATCTTCTGGGACACTGATGCATTTGCCCTGCTGCCGGCTGTCCTCCGTCCACTCCACTGTGAGACCTGAAGGGGACAAAAAGGAGCACAGCTCAACAACCACACGTGTATCTCAGGACCCTGGATGGGAGTCAAAGCTTAAGCAACAATACAGGGCTGGGGAGTGTTTAGTGGTCACCAGTGCTTGCTGCACCTCCAGAAAACCCCAGTTCCGTTCCCAGCACCCCAGTCAGGCAGCTCACAGCAGCCGTGAACTCCAGCTCCAGAGGGTCTGACAGCTTCTTCTGGCTCCAAAGGGCGCGCGCGCGCACGCGCGCACACACACACACACACACACACACACACACACACACAGACAAATTTTTAAGATTGTTAAGAAAAGCCAGGCGGTGGTGGTGCACGCCTTTAATCCCAGCACTTGGGAGGCAGAGGCAGGCGGATCTCTGTGAGTTCGAGACCAGCCCTGGTCTACAAGAGCTAGTTCCAGGACAGGCTCCAAAACCACAGAGAAACCCTGTCTCGAAAAACCAAAAAAAAAAAAAGATTGTTAAGAAAAAACACACAGAGCTATATGAACCTGAACCTAGGACGCATCCCCTGTCTATGCTGGGGACAAATGTCTATGTTTCCCTGTCCTCTACTCAGGGAGTCTCTGCTTTCAAAACCCTGCAAAGACAGAACAAACAAATTTTCCACACTGGAAATTTTTCAGTCTTTAAAGGAAACAAAATTACATTAAATAGCAAAATGTTGACATTTTTCTCCTCTTGTTTTTTAATCTGCCCTACAAGTTCTACTTTGGGGTCTTATCCAAACATGACTAAAATCACAGATATTTAGCTATAGGACTGTCAAAGCTCCATTTACCTTTGACTGTTTTAAATTACAAAAACATTAGGAAACGGCCTAAGATGTAACACAGCAGCAAATGAAGCAAATCACAGTACAGCCACACGACAAAGTCTGGCACAGGCTCCAGGTGTGGGGCGCACACTTGTGACCCCCGCTACTCGGGAGGCTGAACAGGATGAGGAGTTCAGGACAGCCTGAGAAACCAGACATAACGGGTCAGGAAGAAGCTCAGGAGCAGATGATCCACTGTGTGTTATACATGTGCAAGGCCCTGGGTTCCACCCAGGACCACAAATAGTACAAGAGTAACAGCACACGGCGTCTTGATGGCATGAAGTCTATTTCCCGGGACAGAAAGATGGCCATTAGTGCAAGAGAAATTACAAAGTAGTTAACATCTGGTTTTTATTTTTAATTTTATTTACTAGTGGTGTGTGTGCGTGTCTGTGTGTATGTGACATGCGTCTTGTGTCTTTCTGTATGTGATATATGTGTGCATCTCTGTATGTGTGTATGTGCATGTCTGTGTGGTGAATATGTGTGTATGTGTGTGCATGTCTGTCTGTGTGTGTCTATGTGTAACGTAAGTGTGTGTGTGTGTGTGTGTGTGTGTACAGACTGCCTGTAAAGCTCAGAGAACAACCCAGGAGTCAGTTTCTCTCTTGGTCCTTCTTGAGACAAGCTCCCTCACCCTGTTTCTGTCACGGTGTTGTGCACACCTTCCAGACAATTCTGCCTCCACTTCCCATCTCAACAAAGGAGTGCCGGGATTACAGGTGTGCACCACTCCATCCTGCTTCCCGCAGCTTCTGGGATCGAACTCACTCAGGTGACAGGATTGGGGAGCAGGCACTTTCACTGGCGGAGTCCACCAGCCCAGATATGGTTTTCAGAAGCCTAGGAAACAGCTGAGAAAGATATCCGTAGTGCCAGTCCATGCTCAACAGTGGATCATCAGGACTCTCTTCGTGTGTGTGTGTGTGTGTGTGTGTGTACGCATATGTGTGTTAGTGTGTGTGCACATATGTATGTGTTAGTGTGTGGACATTAGTGTATGTATATATGTATTGTGTTAGTGTGTATGTTAGGGTATGTATATATTATGTGTGTTAGTGTGTGTATATGTATGTGTGTTAGTGTGTGTGTATACATATGCTAGTGCATGTGAGTGTTAGTGTGTGTGCATGTATGTATGTTAGTGTGTGTGAGTGTTAGTGTATGTGTATATGTATGTGTTAGTGTATTGTGTTAGTGTGTGTACGTATGTATGTGTGTTAGTGTGTGTACATTAGTGTATGTGTATATGTATGTGTTAGTGTATATGTATGTGTATACGTATGTATGTGTGTTAGTATATGTGTACGCATGTATGTGTGTTAGTGTATGTGTACATGTGTATATGTGTTAGCGTGTGTGTATGTGTGGTGATGGTGGTGTTTTTGAGCCAGGGTCTCACACTACAGCCTAGACTGACCTGAAACTGTAGCCCCACCCTTCTGAGTGCTGGTACAGACAAGAGCCACCAACCACTTCTTATTTTCATGTCGCTCACATTTTCTGAGTTCATGACAAAGTTACATTCTTATCTGCCTAAAATTTTTCAGCAAAAGGATTTTTTAAGACACACTCCCTCCACACCAAAGGTCTGGATTCTTTACCACTTCCGCTCCAGGGCAGGGTTGGGATCTGCAATGTCTGGGCTACGATGGTGGAGGCGATCTTATCTCCCAGGGCCCACATGGCCTCACTGGGGGGACCTGCAGGGGCAGCAAAGGAGAGCGAAACGGAATCAGCCACTGACAGAGCCAGTGCCAACCCAGTGCACGGTAGCAGGGTCAGGGAGAGCAAGGAGATGAGGAAGTCCTCAGGTCTGCTCCCCTTCACTCGGGGGCCGTAGTCTGCCCTGTGCAGGTCAACTTCCAGCATCCAGACCTTGGCCTGATCCCAGTGAAACTGAGCTGTGGCAGACACAAGACTCACTTTGGGAGGAACAAAAACCTGTAGGAAGAAGGCAAACACGGGGCTCCAAAGAGCCAGACCATGGCACAGTGAGCATTCCCTGTGACAGACAGGAGAGCGCACGGTCTTGTGCAGCCAGCATCCCTCACGAAGTTCTCTATCTTCGGTGGGACACTCAGCTCTGTTCCCCTCTGAATCCAGCATGGGGTATTCAATGAGCACAGACCAGGAAGACTTTTAATTGCATCTGTGCCGAACCTGCTCAGACTTCTTTCCTGGTCTTGATTAGCAAATTAATACTATGGAACCCAGCATGGTCGCTGAACCAGGTTAGACAGGGCCTAGAGATAACCCACACACAAGGAGCATGTGCAAAGGCCACGCCTCTTCATAGAGGAGGCGTCGATGTCTGGGGGTGCTTCTGGAACCCAAATCCTGAGGATATATGGACTGCTTGTGTGCATACAGAGATGACCAACATGTTCGCAAATAAAAATCCTGAAACCCACGGATGCCATCAGTCATGTTCCCTAACAAAACGGAAGGGGCTTTGATCCTGCAGAAAGCAGCCCAAAGATACGGCCCTCACAGAAATGTAAACCACAGGAAACCCTAGCCAAGGACATCACTGGCCACAGTATCGCTCTACTGCAATAACCAAGGCAGTGGTTCCTGGTCCACTCACTCCCCACCTCCCACCCCCACCCTTCACGAGGAGGCAAAGTGACCTCCACTATGAAGGACAGCACAAGAAAGAGACCCTGACCTGGCACCATCCAACCCACGCATCTGACTGAGCGCACACTCTACCTAGGAAAGCAATCTCGTGCTTGCGCAGCAGCTCCGGAAGTTTGGGGTTTTCCGAAGCATGGCCCCAGCCAGCCCACACGGCCTGCAAACACAGAGAGGGGTGATCAAAGGTCCTCTAAGACCCTACCTGCCCCTGCACCCAACACTCTGCTGTGCCCCATTGGGCCATCATAGCCTGTAGGATGGGGCATCACCATCCCCCATCACCACGGGCACCCTCGGGAGCTGCGGACTGGACCACATCGGCACAGAGATTCTCTTAGCAATGTCTATCAGCTCCATCCTCTCCCTCCTCCCCTCCCCCCGCCACCCTCGGGAGCTGTGGATCAGCGCCTTCACAGATGTAGGATGGGGCACCCCCCCACACGGCCACCCTCGGGAGCTGCGGACCAGCACCTGCACAGGGATTCTCTTAGCGATGTCTATGATCAGCTCCACGTTGGCATAGTTGTTGTTGTTGGGTCCTCCCGGGACAGGAACATACTGATCCGCCATTTTGATGTACTCTGCAGTTCAACCAGAGAAAGAGGGAAACCAGGGACAGACGTGTCACACACAGAACAGGGTGGTGCGACACGTTCTGCCCACGAGGAGCACGACCGTGAAGACCACGCGGCCGTGATGGAGAACGGCACGAAGGCAGGAGAAATCTAGAACTGGACTGAGGAGACAAGCGCTCTGCCACAGAACAAAGGCTGGGATGTGTGGCGCCCTACTTAAGCTTTATCTAAGTTGGTCTTTGTTAAATACGGTCTTTGTTAGTTTGAAGACAGGGTCTCTTGCAGCCCAGGCTAGCCTCAAACTCTAGGAAGCTGAGAATGAACTTGAATTTCTGAGCTTCCTGCCTTCACCTCCCAAGCACAGGACCAAGCCACCAAGCCTAGGGCTGTATGCCTGCCAGGCAAGTACTCTAGACGCACCATAGCTTTGGGGCCTGTCCTGGAACTAGCTCTTGTAGACCAAGATGGCCTCGAACTCACAGAGACCCACCTGCCTCTGCCTCCTAAGTGCTGGGATTACACTGCCACCGCCCTTCACAATGTTTTTTTTAAGTGTGTAAAAGTTCATAAACAGCTGTGCAGTGGTGGTGCACACCTTTAATCCCAGCCCTCAGGAGGCAGAGTCAGGCGGATCTCTGCATTTGAGGCCAGCCTGCTCTACAGAGTGAGTTCCAGGACAGTCAGAGCCATACAGAGAAACCCTGTCTCAAAAAAAAAAAAAAAGTACATAAGCAGAATTTAGGACCTTACCCACAGGCTAGCGGTGAATTCCATGCCAGCTCCTGGGGACAGTCCAATAACCTAAACCCTGAAATCACAAACTCCAGGGTCACGATCGGTTCCCCCAAGCTTCAGTCCTGTAGGCTCGGAAGCTCATTCCAACCTCTATGGATTTTACCTCCTAACGAGCTCTTTCGGGAATCATACCCTGATTATCTGTTCTGTTTTGTTTGCCTTTGGTTTTGAAACCATGTTTGTGTATCTGGATTACTCTGGAGGGCTTGGTCCTCCTGCCTCAGTCTCTCAGGGGCCAGACTACAGGTGTGAACAAATTTTCCTTAAAAAACCCACTCGTGACAACGAGCAAAGAATGGTGGGGAAGAACGGTCATCCAGCTGTGTCTAGACCATAAATTCAGACCTAATCTAAAGACAAGGATTGGTGCATCACACTGGATCCCCAAGATCCTGAAAACGTCTGCTGTGGAATTCCCAGGTATGCCTGTTCCCTCCCCACCGCCGCTTCCAGTGTCTGTCAAGCCAGGAGCATCAGCCACTGGGAAGGTTTCCATGAAGCAGGGGGCAGCCTTACAAAAGTCACCTGGTCTCCTCCGAGTTCCCCTTTAATGTCAGAGAACATAAACACAGTTACAGACTGAGCTCTGCCGGAAGGAACTAAACTGGATTCTCCCGGGGAAGTCTGGGAGAATTGGGGGGGGGCACAGAAAGTGTGTTGAGGAAGAACACCATAGAGTAATCCTGCTGAGAGAGGGAAGTATGAGTGCCCGGGGACCCAGGACAGGGACCCAGGCGCCAACAGGACCAAACCACGTGGAGAATTGCCACGTCCACAGCAGTGACTGCCGTGTAGTGACAAAATGCCTCTGCGCTGGCTTTTGCCTGCTGAAGGATTGGGGTTAGAGCTTCTTGGAGCGAAGCCCCAGGTGGTCCCCCTGGCAATCAGCAGTCCAGAGAGGACCTGATGCCCTAGGCAAATCTCGTATCTG